ATACTTTGTACTTTTTACTTAAGTACGTTTTGCTTCCAGTACTTTTTACTCTTACTCAAGTCGTTTTATTGTTAATTACTTCTACTTTTACTCGAGTACAAATTCAAAGTAATTTAGGCACCACTGGTTTCGTTCAGTTTCTGAAAGTTGTACATTCCGTATCGGATAGGCGCTCTTTCGCGCCGCTACGGAAAGCCATCAGGTATAGATGTATAGTGTAAACATAGCCTGTTTGTCCTTCAAAGAGAGAACAGAAACTAGTATCTTTATAGATACCGTAAATAGTTCATGCCAAATGCATTGAGATTAAAAAATGATATCATGATATCAAACTATCCTAATTGAAATAGGTATAGCATATGGCAAAGCAGTCAAATATCGAAATATAAAGCGAGAAGAACGCAACAGCAGCAAACGACATTATGTTGTAACAGAAGAGGAGATACAGGACACGTGTAAGTATCAGATATTTAACAGTTATTCTACGAACTCTAGTCGAATATGAGCTGATAGCCGATGAGGCGCGTATCGCCGAATCGACTATCGCTCATATTCGACGAGAGTGAGTTGAATAACTGTTTTATTATATACACAAGGTCTGAATTCACAGACTTTAGCAAACTTTTCAAACAATTGTTCGATTTTCAAACTTTTCTATTTTGTTTATGTTTTTATCTTCGCTCTTTCGGCCGAGTATTTTTTCAAAAATATATACTTTTAACCATTTTAAATTTTAAAAATTCATTTGCTAACCTGTGAACAATTTGTGGGAGTTTTTTCGTTGTGTTTTTAATACTGTAAAGGCTATAAAAAGCGAACAACTTGCCGTTTTCTCGTTCGCAAAACGGTTGGAAATTCAGTTTAAGCCGCCATTTTGTTTTTCTCTACAGCAGGATATGAGCTAATATCCTGCTAGTAGAGAACCAATCAGATTGCAGAATACCTCATATCCAGACCTTGTGTATATAATATCTATATATATCCACATCAACGCTTACTGTGATAATATCATACATAAAAGTATTACTCGTCTGTGATTGGTTTCTTTCAGTGCAGTTAATCCAAAACAGCACTGCAATAGCTGTTATCGTAATTGAATACGCCGCTGCGGCATACCAGCGGTATCTCAGTGGAAGTACGCACGAAAACGAGGCTAAAGGGTAAAAAAACACAAAACATGACCCTATAGCATCGTCTCGATGTTAAAATAATGCAGATACCGCTGGTCCGTAGCGTAGACGTGTTCAATTACGATAACAGCTATTGTCTGTAATCACTATATAATATGAACCAATCAAAATTGAGCTAAGTTTTGGCGGGAAAAATTTTAAAATATTCTTTTTTCAAAACAAACATGGTCGCATTTAGGGGAAGCATTGAACTATAAATAAACTGGAAGGCTAACTGCTATGATGAAGGCCTATGTCTATGATTTGCTGAAGTCAAAATAGTTTTTCTGAGTTATGAGCAGATATACTTGATTCCAAACGTTGGGCTATATGTCACACTGAAGCTATTGAAAATTGTTATTCGGTGTGGAAATTTCAAGACTTCAGCGAAAAGAAAAATACAAAAACAACAGCCACTCGGCCAAAAAAAGGCAAATTATCGGCGATTATTTTTGTAGTATTTAAATATTTCCCTTTTAGCTGAAGTCTTGAAATTTCTACACCAAATAGCGTTTTTCAATAGCTTCAGTTTCATATACAGCAAAACGTTCAGTGTTGAGTATTTCTGCTCATAACTCAGAAAAACTAAAATGCACTGGCTTTCAATCCTCCTCCCCCGAGTTAGCCTTCCATTTTACTTGTTCAATGGCGGAAAGATTCCCGCATGGACTTGGTCAAGTTCAAATTTGATTGTCTCGAATATACTTTTATGTAAATTATTAATAAATAATAGTATGGTTTCTGGTGAAATTTGGATAAACATACACTCGTGAGTTTTTCAAAGACCTCAAATGGCACTCGTCCTTCGGACTCGTGCTATTTTGAAGTCTTTGAAAAACTCACTCGTGCATGTTATATCCAAATTGCACTTGAAACCATGCTATTACCTATACAAACTAATTCATGCACATAACTTTATTTTTCCACTTAGATTTTATACCACATCAACAATCATACCCAGGTAAGACAATGAACATAAGACAAGATTTACTTATTGTGCCAATAATAATATACATAAAACAATGTTATTAGAATGTTAGGGTTTGTAATCCAAGTGAGTATATATACATTTTAAGACCTGACCAGGAACGACTGCGAAAAATGCAGCACAAGGTCCTCTGGTAGGAATTGAACCTACGGCCATGCGATTCCGGTGCAGCGCTCTAACTAACTGGGCTACAGAGGCCATCTGTTGAGCTGTAACCGTAAGTTCATGTATATATAGGTAGTCGGGTGTGCGGGTTGTGATCAGGTGGACTTCAATGATTTGGTTTCTTGCATTTCACTTGGTGGAATTAATATTAGAATGTTAGGGTTTGTAATCCAAGTGAGTATATACATTTTAAGACCTGACCAGGAACGACTGTGAAAAATGCAGCACAAGGTCCTCTGGTAGGAATTGAACCTACGGTCCTGCGATTCCGGTGCAGCGCTCTAACTAAATGAGCTACAGAGGCCAGCTGTTAAGCTGTAACCGTAAGTTCATGTATATATAGGTAATCGGGTGTGCGGGTTGTGATAAGGTGGACTTCAATTCCTACCAGAGGATCTTGTGCTGCATTTTTCGCAGTCGTTCCTGGTCAGGTCTTAAAATGTATATATACTCACTTGGATTACAAACCTTAACATTCTAATATTAATTCCACCAAGTGAAGTGCAAAAAACCAAATAATTGAAGTTCACCTTATCACAACCCGCACAACCCGACTACCTATATATACATGAACTTTTGAGGTCTTTGAAAAACTTACTCGTGCATGTCATATCCAAATTGCACTCGAAACCATGCTATTACATATACAAACCAATTCATGCACATAACTTTATTTTTCCACTTAGATTTTATACCACACCAACAATCATACCCAGTTATCCCTCAATACCCAGGTAAGACAATCAAGATAAGACAAGATTTACTTATTGTGCCAATAATAAAATACATAAAACAATGTTATTAGAATGTTATAGGGTTTGTAATCCAAGTGAGAATATATACATTTTAAGACCTGACCAGGAACGACTGCGAAAAATGCAGCACAAGGTCCTCTGGTAGGAATTGAACATACGGCCCTGCGATTCCAGTGCAGCGCTCCAACCAACTGAGCTACAGAGGCCAGCTGTTGAGCTGTAACCGTAAGTTCATGTATATATAGGTAGTCGGGTGTGCGGGTTGTGATCAGGTGAACTTCAATTCCTACCAGAGGACCTTGTGCTGCATTTTTCGCAGCCGTTCCTGGTCAGGTCTTAAAATGTATATATACTCACTTGGATTACAAACCCTAACATTCTAATATTAATTCCACCAAGTGAAGTGCAAGAAACCAAATCATTGAAGTCCACCTTACCACAACCCGCACACCCGACTACCTATATATACATGAACTTACGGTTACAGCTCAACAGCTGGCCTCTGTAGCTCAGTTGGTTAGAGCGCTGCACCGGAATCCCAGGGCCGTAGGTTCAATTCCTACCAGAGGACCTTGTGCTGCATTTTTCGCAGTCGTTCCTGGTCAGGTCTTAAAATGTATATATACTCACTTGGATTACAAACCCTAACATTCTAATATTAATTCCACCAAGTGAAGTGCAAGAAACCAAATCATAAAACAATGTTACTCGACTGTGATTAGTTGATTTCAGTGCAGTTAATCTCAAACAGCAGTGCAAAAATCTGTACCCTTTAATGGGATCTAAAATCAACCAATCAACACTTAAAGCATGCGCAGTTCTCTAGTATAACGGTCACAGATTGCTTCAAAACAAAACAAACATGGCGACCGTGCTACATAAAGTAAAACTTGAGTTCGGGTGGAAAATATGGCTTTTACCTTTTTTAAAATGGAAGTTAAAACTACAATTGTCTCGAACATTTTTATGTACTATTTAAAATATGAAAAGCTGTGTTTTATCAGAGTAAAGATACGAGGCGAAGCCGAGAATCTTTAGGTCTGATAAAACACGCACTGCGAATGTCTTAAATTGCTTCAAAAACGATCGATCTAGCAAGTTCATGATCGATCTAGCAAGTTCATTAGGGAAGTAATTTTCAAAAAATACGTTGTGTAAGTCGAGAAAATCATAGTTAAAGTTTATGTAAATCAAGGGCAATCTCTATAACATATAAAAATACGACACGCTTATGATTTTTCCTTGTGTTTTCCTCGTGAGCTATTGATGATTTTTGAAGTACATTAAATTGAAAGCATAGCATGTGAACAGAGTGTACAGAGCTTATGAATATTGCAATCCAGGGTACATCAAATGATTTACAAAACACTTACTAAGATGGTCGTAATTCTCTTCACCCCTGCAGTGCCTGTAATAACACATGTTGCCAATCCTCCTCAACCGGAATCAAAGAAGCCGAAAAATGAGCACGCGAGCGAACACGAAGAACAACACGTCTTATTCCAACCAGGGAAAACAGAAAACGAGCACAAGGGACATGACGAGGAAAACGGACATGACGAGCATGTCACCAATCCCCCTCAACCAGAGTCAAAGAAGCCGAAAAATGAGCACGCGAGTGACCACGAAGAACAACACGTCTTATTCCAACCACGGAAAACGGAAAACGATAAGCATGACGAGCACGCGAGTAACAGCAAAAGCAAAGGTGGATATTCTGGTAACATCGGAATTTTAGTTGACCAGAACAGGAATATAAATGGTAAAATGAACACTGAGGTGAATGAGATACTAGAGAATAGTGATAATGAAAGACATAAAGAAAGTTCATCCACCACATCCAAACAAGTACTTTCGAGTGATGATAACAAAGAAACTTCATCGATTACATCTAAACAACTTTCAAGTGATGATAACAAAGAAAGTTCATCGATTACATCTAAACAACTTTCAAGTGATGATAATAAAGTGAGGGCATACAGAAATGTTGGATGTTATAAGGATGCTCTACCAAGAGCTGTACCCTCGCTTGAAGGTTGGTTTATTTCTTATACGAACAATGCAGTATGGAAGAGGAATATTCTTCCTTAAATATTTAATATTTCTACCTATAAAATTCATGTTCCTACCTTACGGTGGGGGTGTTATTCATTCCAAACAGTTTCAATACCATTTCCCCTTAGCAAATTCCAGGGTTTTTTTAACGGACTGTATTGCTAATCAACTTATCAGAACACACTAATGAACAAACATAGAGTGTTGAATGGAATGATATATCAATATGGAATGTTATATGGAATGTTGTGACAAGGAAGCCTTGTCAGGAGGTAACTATAGAAACAAACTTATATTATGATATTTGTTGTGTTGGTGTAGTGTACTCAGGTGAATAAGATGCTTGTGATGTTACTCTGAGTGTGTATCCACACCGGGCAGGCTTGAAAAATATGCCTGGCCACGGTGGGAATCGAACCTACGACCTTTGGAATGCTAGCCCAATGCTCTGCCAACTGAGCTACGCGGTCAGGTCGGTTCGAGATGCGATATTTCGGAACTGAGTCTAGTTCCTTCGATATCAGTATAATCTAATAATCATGATATTTGTTGTGTTGGTGTAGTGTACTCAGGTGAATAAGATGCTTGTGATGTTACTCTGAGTGTGTATCCACACCGGGCAGGCTTGAAAAATATGCCTCAGTTGGCAGAGCATTGGGCTAGCATTCCAAAGGTCGTAGGTTCGATTCCCACCGTGGCCAGGCATATTTTTCAAGCCTGCCCGGTGTGGATACACACTCAGAGTAACATCACAATCATCAAACTTATATTATGTTTGTTTTAGGTTCTGATCCCATCTTGAATGGCTATTACAAAAACAGACACGATGCTGTCGAGAAATGCGCCCATGTGGCAAAATCACGTGGTTATCAACTGTTTACAATTCAAAATGGCGGCTTCTGTTCATCTGGTCCAATGGCACACAGGACGTTTCAGGTATATGGGCCAGCGAGCAAATGTAAAGGAGGTTTAGGTGGCAAATGGGCAAGTGATGTGTATATATTTAATGGTAAGTCATACCAACCCATGTTGTCGTCGTTCTGGTACATTGATTCAAATACACTCTATTACGGGCATCTCTCGTCTTAGCTCTAGCACCCGTTTCACAATATCTCTCTACCTCATCCTCTCTTTCTCTCGACAGTTCATTGTCTTTCTATTGAATGTCTCCATGCTACCTTAACTGGATCTTTCTCTACTCACTATCCAAGGCATTCTCGTCTCTTAGGTTTAATACCCTCAGGTCTCTTCACAATATCTCTTCATCTCATCAGAGGTCTCCCAACAGTTCATCGTCTTTCTATTGAATGTCTCCATGCTACCTTGACTGGATCTTTCTCTACACTCTATCCTGGACATTCTCGTCTCTTAGGTTTAGTACGCTCAGGTCTCTTCACAATATCTCCCCATCTCATCAGAGGTCTCTCAACAGTTCATCGTCCTTCTATTGAATGTCTCCATGCTACCTTGACTGGATCATTCTCTGGATCTTTCTCTACTCACTATCCAAGGCATCCTCGTCTCTTAGGTTTAGTACCCTCAGGTCTCTTCACAATATCTTTCCATCTCATCCTCTTTCTCTCGACAGTTCATCGTCTTTCTATTGAATGTCTCCATGCTACATTGACTGGATCTTTCTCTACACTCTATCCTGGACATCCTCGTCTCTTAGGTTTAGTACCATAAGGTCTCTTCACAATATCTCTCCATCTCATCAGAGGTCTCTCAACAGTTCATCGTCCTTCTATTGAATGTTTCCATGCTACCTTGACTGGATCTTTCTCTGCACTCTATCCTGGACATCCTCGTCTCTTAGGTTTAGTACGCTCAGGTCTCTTCACAATATCTCTCCATCTCATCCTCTTTCTCTCGACAGTTCATTGTCTTTCTATTGAATGTCTCCATGCTACCTTGACTGGATCTTTCTCTACTCACTATCCAAGGCGTCCTCGTCTCTTAGGTTTAGTACCCTCAGGTCTCTTCACAATATCTTTCCATCTCATCCTCTTTCTCTCGACAGTTCATCGTCTTTCTATTGAATGTCTCCATGCTACATTGACTGGATCTTTCTCTACACTCTATCCTGGACATCCTCGTCTCTTAGGTTTAGTACCATAAGGTCTCTTCACAATATCTCTCCATCTCATCAGAGGTCTCTCAACAGTTCATCGTCCTTCTATTGAATGTTTCCATGCTACCTTGACTGGATCTTTCTCTGCACTCTATCCTGGACATCCTCGTCTCTTAGGTTTAGTACGCTCAGGTCTCTTCACAATATCTCTCCATCTCATCCTCTTTCTCTCGACAGTTCATTGTCTTTCTATTGAATGTCTCCATGCTACCTTGACTGGATCTTTCTCTACTCACTATCCAAGGCGTCCTCGTCTCTTAGGTTTAGTACCCTCAGGTCTCTTCACAATATCTTTCCATCTCATCCTCTTTCTCTCGACAGTTCATCGTCTTTCTATTGAATGTCTCCATGCTACATTGACTGGATCTTTCTCTACACTCTATTCTGGACTTCCTCGTCTCTTGGGTTTAATACCCTCAGGTCTCTTCACAATATCTCTCCATCTCATCAGAGGTCTCTCAACAGTTCATCGTCCTTCTATTGAATGTCTCCATGCTACCTTGACTGGATCTTTCTCTACACTCTATCCTGGACATCCTCGTCTCTTAGGTTTAGTACGCTCAGGTCTCTTCACGATATCTCCCCATCTCATCAGAGGTCTCTCAACAGTTCATCGTCCTTCTATTGAATGTCTCCATGCTACCTTGACTGGATCTTTCTCTGGATCTTTCTCTACTCACTATCCAAGGCATCCTCGTCTCTTAGGTTAGTACGCTCAGGTCTCTTCACAATATCTCCTCATCTCATCAGAGGTCTCTCAACAGTTCATTGGTCTTCTATTGAATGTCTCCATGCTACCTTGACTGGATCTTTCTCTACTCACTATCCAAGGCATCCTCGTCTCTTAGGTTTAGTACGCTCAGGTCTCTTCACAATATCTCCCCATCTCATCAGAGGTCTCTCAACAGTTCATCGTCCTTCTATTGACTGTTTCCATGCTACCTTGACTGGATCTTTCTCTACACTTTATCCTGGACATCCTCGTCTCTTATGTTTACTGCGCTCTCGTCTCTTAATTCAACTGGGTGTCTAACATTTCTTTACAGTATATGCATACGAACTAACGGTTCATACTGGAATTGAACAGAAGAGTTCAACAGATGCGAAGATTTCGGTAGCACTTTATGGTGTGATGGGATCATCACGACACATCCCTCTGAGGTCACATGCATCCGCAATCATCAATGACCCATTTCAAAGTGGACAGTAAGTTAAGAAGATATATAATAAATTGAACAAAAAATGGAAGAGATTTGATCATAAAAACTAAACTAAGATGATTTAAGGCAAGTAAGGACCCACTTAAGATCAGCTGTTATCACAGGAGGAAAATAACTTTATTTATGCTGGATAACTTCTTTATGCTGAATCAGTTCTAAACTGTTCTCCAATCACCCCATCTGTCTGTGTGATGTAGACTTGCTACAAGTCGAGTCGAGTTGCATTATAACGAGTAAAATGTGTGAGCAAATAAAACGAGTGATGCTTTATTTATCGCAGGGGTCGGTTGTTCAAAAGTCGGTTACCGGTATCTTAATCCTAGGTTAATAATAATAATATTTAACCAGAAAGCTCTCATTACTTGACGTGGTTTTCAGAGAGGTCCTGCAAATTCTTCAATGCAACTTCCAACAGCTTGTTTATAAACATGGAAATGTTTTTTTCTCGAAATCTTGTCTGGATCAATAGGAGTTAGGGACCGGTCATTATTTATGGTGGGGGGTGGCACCGAAGAGAAATGTTTTTCCTGCTAAAAATTTTGCTGACCCAACCATTAAAAAGCAAAAAATTTGATTACCCAACCTCAAATATCAATTAAAAAATAAATACCCACCCCTGGCTAAAACCTTTACAAAAGAATACCATTCAGTTGTCACACATGTCCTCTACCACTTCTGTGACACAAGTTTGATAACTAAACTTTCATGTTATATGTACATGTACTTTCTTTGGAGACACCATTTGTCTCCCAACAAATCGGAAAATGATCAAGATAGTGACTCTGATTGATTCACATATTGTATTGACATATGACTGTTGTTGCTTTTCAGTCTCCAATATTTAAGTAATCGTGCTTTGGAAATGACAATAACTTTTAATTACCCAACCCTTGAGTTGTTTTGTTTTTCATTTACCCAACCTTTTAGTTACTCAAAATTTAGTTTACCCAACCCTTTTCTCTTCGGTGCAACCCCCCGCCATAAATAATGACCGGTCCCTTATATTTTCTAAAGTTTTGAAATTAACAGACATGCAGAAATACATGCACCAAACAGCAGGTGAACAACCGGCTTCAGTACAGTGCAGTGTTACTACAAGGGAAAATATAAACTAACTTTATTTATGTTGGATGGCACTTACTGCTCAAATGGCTAAAGTTGGTTGCATAATATTTTTATAACAGGGTAGATAAATTTATGGCGCATACAGTTCCACTTGGAGACTTGACACGACTACATGTCTGCCTAGATAATACTGGCCCATCACCAGAATGGTATTTAGAAAAGGTATTCTGTAATGTTCAATAGTTTTGCTCTAATTTGTGCAGCATACAAAGTGATAATAAAGCTCAAATTTTCACATTATAGATATCCATTAAAGATCCGAGAAATAAGATTTTTATATTCCCATGCAACTGCTGGTTAAAAGGAGGCAAGAAGGGAAGCATATCTGAAAGAAATTTATTACCAGGTACGAATCTCACTCTGACATATCTACCAATAAAGAGGGAATAGTCACCATAATACTTTCAACAACCACATGCTGTGTTCGTTGTTCAAGATTTTATTTAACAAGATTTGCTACATATACAATCGTAACAACGTACAAGTTGTAACAAACCTGCAAGCCTGTAGCGAACACATCTTGTTGACAAGTTGCGAGATTTTTACCTTTGCACAACAGACATACAAAAACGCACAAGTTGTAACAAACTTGCAGCAGACTTGTTATCTCGACATGTTTACATATAACCATGATATTTAACTAAAGCATTTTGAGTATTTTCTTGTGAGCTCACAAAAAATTAAAGGGCGGTGCTGGACTTCTCTAGGGGGTGTTAGACACCACTAGGTGGGGTGCGTAACCCCCCTGTAGATCTGCCCCTGGGTAATTGGTTCCTCATAGGGTTAAAGATATTTACGCTGACATATTTTTCTTCATATTAGCTGTAGTTATAAGCGCAAAATCATTCAAATATATCGGATGCTTCAAACATCCTAAAACCAACAACATAGCGACTCAAGATTACAAGATCCTGGATGGCCATCCCTCTACAGTCACGCTATCCAACAAAAGTACGAAATCCAAGAATAAAGATTACGTCATTGAGATGTGTGCACAGGGCACCTACGCCAGAGGTTACATGTTCTTTGGGATTCATAATGGAGAGCAATGTTTGAGCAGTAGTGTATTTCAAGACTCGTATGGTAGATATGGCAAAGCGTATGACTGTCTCACTACTGGTCGGGGAGGAATGGAATCTATGGCTGTGTACACTTTTACTGATAGAGGTAATTTTTTAATTTTTGCTTAGCGCTGATGAATAACCGAACTACATATTAATAACTACATATTATAAAACTCATTAATAATTCATGAAGAAAATACAAAAGAAATGAATGTTTAATCAATGTTTGTAAATCGCTTCAAAACCTCATTAATAATTCATGAAGCAATTATCCAATCTTGAGTAAGAAATTAGTCACGTGCATACGTCTTTATACCAGCTAAGGAACACTTTAACAAAAGACCATTGTTATGCAAACTATATAAAGATTTTTATATAAAGATTTTTATATAAAGATTTGACTTATTATGCAAACGTTTTTGAAGCCATTTAAAAAACTCGCAGGTCGTGTTTTATTAGGTCTAAAGCCACTCACGCTGCGCGCTCGTGGCTTTAAACCTAATAAAACACTCCTGCTCGTTTTTTAAATAGTACATAAAGATTTGTCCTGATTTACATAAACTTCAGCTTTGATTTTCTCGGCTTAGACAATGTTTATTTTTAAAGTTACTTCGCCAATGAACTCATAAGATGGGTCGTTTTATCGGCCAGAGTTTCTATAACAGATAAAGATCGGATGCGAATGTTTTATCTAGTACTTAAGAGGAGAATCGTTTGTATATGTTACGTAACACGAGCTCAAAACTAATGAATATACTTTTCCACTTGTTTATGACTATATTCAAATATTTTAATGTTTGATACGTTTCTCAAGCGGCGTTTCTCTACCTACATTCAACATTCCAGACCATTAATTTATTTCTTATATACACCCTTTTTGAATTCTAGAACCGCTACCCGTACGAACGACTGGTAGCTACAATGCAAAATACTTAGATATGGTAGACGCAGACAAAATTGTACAAGAACATTAGGTTATACAAATTGTTGCTTTATAAAAATATTAGATGTAAATATAGTATCGATCATACTCTTGTAATTTTATATAATTCTGTACAATTTCAGCTTCTGAAGCTGCTTTTTGGATAATGAATCGACATTGAATTAAACACAGATGGTCCAATTTTTAAAGATTTGTCGAGTTCTAGAATTAACATGTCTTGCTATTGCAGTGTTTAGCTTGCGGCTTTAAAGTTCACCCTGTTGATTTTCATCGCACACAAACATCATAAATTGTCTCTTTGGGGATGATGAGTAAATTATTCCAAAATTCCGGGGGGAGGTTTTATTGCGGATTGGTTGTCGTCGTGTACTACTGGCACATCAAGTATGATGTGCCAGCAAATTAAATACAACATATTTGGTACCTCAAAATGTAGTCTTGTGTTTCTTGACTTCAACCATGACATGATGAATATTAATGAGTTCACTTCGGACGGCTAATTTCTTGAATGGTGGTTGTGACAGGACTTTTTGAAAGCGATGATAATATTGAATAAGTTGAGTCAGTGCCGCCTGTGTGAGTGAGAAGAGACACAAATTAATAAGGAAAGGCTATCATTTTCAAGGAGATATAATTGACAAACACCCTTGTTCCATTCTATGCTTACTATAACAGAGAGAACTATACATATCAGACAGTGAATTAGATGGCAACTGGTTTTAACAGCTGAAAATCAGTGAAGCTTATTATAAGAATACTACCATAGATATCTTATATACACTAGATAGTGCATCTAACTATTCTGCAATTCAAAAATTGAAGCCGTGATTGCAGACTCAGGATATTCCCATGAAATGCGAAGATTCGTATGTTTTCTCTTTTTAAACAGGGAACTTAAACATTAAGTTAAATCTATTCCAAATACATTTTTAAACTGTTCAAATGATGAAAGTTATTGTTGTTTTTTAAGCGTTTATTAGCGAGTGGGAACTACCAACATGGCCGCCATCTATTCAAATGGAGTAACCGCTAGAATATTCTTGGCTTCAATTTTACTAAAAGAGATGCGCTATCTAGTGTATATAAGATATCTATGAATACTACCTACGCTGGACCAGCACGTTTGAAATATCTTTTTCAGGTAGCTCAGACACAAACTACGGCAGCTTATTGTAGAATACTGCCTACAATGGACCTCCACGTTTGAGATATCTTTTTCAGACAGTTCAAACATATACCAGGGCAGCTTATTGTTGAATACTACCTACACTGAATCCCGATGTTCGAGATATCTTTTTCAGATAGTTCCAAGGTTGGGTAGTAGCGAAGTAGTTGTAGTTCGCTACTGTAGCGAACTACAATTTTCAAGTATGGCTACTCGTAGTTTCTGGCTACTTTTTTAAAACATTAGCGAGGTTTAGCAAAGACGACGCGACGTCAAAGACGACGTGAAAATGGCGTAAAAATGACGTGGGCACATCCATAGATGGGCATATCACGTCATTTTTACGCCATTTTCGCGTCGTCTTTGACGTCGCGTTGTCTTTGCTAAACCTCGCTATTAGCTGTAGTTATAGCGAACTACATTTTGCGTATAGTAGCGAAGTAGTTGACTACTTTTCAAACAGCGAATCGCTATTAGCAACTTGATAGAATAGCATGATATTGAGATACGGTTTGTTTAAAATCAATACTCAATTTTCACTCTTGAACACTGTAGTGCTTACAAAAATGTTGCTTTGTGTTTACTGTTGCCACTCGTAAGTGGATTTGTTATAGGTTACATTTCAGGCTGAGTTAGTAGATGCTCCAAATACAGTAAAACTAAAATATATAGCGTAGCGAAATAGCGAAATAGTTCGCTACATATTTTAAGCAGTAGCCTGTAGTCAGTAGCGAACTACCTTTGTTCAAAAGTAGTAATAGTTGTAGCTGACTACATATTTTTGAAGTAGCTGCAGTTATAGCGAACTACAAAAACTTTGTAGTCAACCCACCCTTGGATAGTTCAGAGACAAACCGCGGCAGCTTATTGTAGAATAAGACCTACACTGGAGCACCACGTTCAAGATATCTTTTTCAGGCATAGTTCAAACACAAACCACGGCAGCTTATCGCAGCAAGACCTCACGTTTGTTATACCTGTAATATCGCTGTTCCATTTTTCAGATTTGAAAATGATCTCATAATATCATGATTAATACTCTCAATTCCCCGTTTCCAGTCTGTGGCAAAACCACGAACAATCTGACCAACGCGACGTTCATCAGCTTGAACGTACTGGTTCTGATTCCTCTCCAACTGAGGTTCAACGTCTTTAACAAATGCGATCATTCCTCCAAACCCAGGAGACAGAATCTAAACATTTGGAATAAATTACACACAAAATATAGAACGAAAAGGTCGAGGAGGAGCTGAGAATCCCCCAGCCCTACATCCAGCTAGAATGTAAGTGAGTTTGGGAAATAGGACTTGGCTGGGGCAGTCGTCAGAGAAGTGCCTTTCACTTAAAGCCACTATTTAAAGCTGCTGGAGTCCTGCCTACACAGCAAAGAGTAATGCTACGAACAGCAATAATGGTATATAATAAATCATTAAACAACTGGGTACCCAAGTACATAAGTGACTTGTTTGTCTTAAAGTCATCAGTGACAAAACGAATTACAAAAAGCTCAGAGAACAACGAACTGTGGATACCGCGAACGAAACTAACAATTAGGCAGAAAACGTTGAAAGTCAGTGGTGCAACATTATATAACAGTTTACCACGTGCGACCAGACAATCAACGTCATTAAGCTCCTTTAAAATAAGAGCCTATCAGTACTTTTTAGATACTTATATATAAGTTATTTGTTTGTACGACTTTTATATGTGCTTGTTGTACTGATGTCCAATCTATAATGTGTAGTTTTAATAGTAAATTTGTAATAAGTAGACGATAACATAATAGTTTTGTTTGTGGAAACACCACGTAAATTTATTACTGCAGTACTAAATTTACGTGGTGTTTTCACAAACAAAACTATTATATTTTATCGCCATGCAAACATACAAAGAACTTAGACGATAACAGTTGAACAGAAGGCCTAGTGTAAGATTAGTGTTGCTAAACTGGTTTTTGTATAATTGCACCTTCTTTAAATAAAGTTTATTATTATTATTATTATTTCTAAGATCGCAGGTTCTAACCATGCATGCTGTTCTAACCTCCCAAACTCACTAATACAGGTTCAGATTTGACTTCTACTACCGTTACCTCTCAAAGGCTTAATACGCATTTGATTGGCTAATCAGGTAGATTAAATGCATTTGATTGGTTAATCAGGTAGATTAAATGCATTTGATTGGCTAATCAGGTAGATTAAATGCATTTGATTGGCTAATCAGGTAGATTAAATGCATTTGATTGGTTAATCAGGTAGATTAAATGCATTTGATTGGCTAATCAGGTAGATTAAATGCATTTGATTGGTTAATCAGGTAGATTAAATGCATTTGATTGGCTAATCAGGTAGATTAAATGCATTTGATTGGCTAATCAGGTAGATTAAATGCATTTGATTGGCTAATCAGGTAGATTAAATGCATTTGATTAGTTAATGGTAACGGTAGTGGAAGTCAAAATCAGTGCCGTAGCCAGAACGTTGTTCATTAAGCAGATCTTCCACGAGCTCAAAATCTCAAATCAAATCAACTTTATTCCACCAGGGTATAGTAACGTCAGTTCAGAACAACTGGTACCAATGTGAGCCCTGATAACATTTGAGTTTAACATTTGAGACATTCGACAACATTTGAGTTCTTTTAACCAGCATTTAAACTTTCGTTTAAGCCTATAGTAATTTATTTATTTCAATACATCAAAATCATCTCGCCTTTAATCTCGTCCCAGCAAATCGGTATCGTGTAAAACAGCTTCTTACCCCACCCCACAACCTGACGCATGTTCTAATTAAACTACTTTACGTGAAATATACCTCCTCAACAAACTCTTGAATCCTGGCACTCAACAACTGTTGAAAACTTTCGGTTTCCTGCGAGTCTTCTGATGTACGTTCCTGACAGCAGAGTAGGAAATTTATCAAATATTGTTGTCTTTGAACAACCAAAGAATAAACTAACTTTATACTACTTATACTGGACAATTCTATCAGTTCTAAACTGCTCTTCCTGGAGGTGTAGTAAGATCCATCATCCCCCCCGATATATAAGCCAATCAAAAAATGCTTGCGGACGAATATTATCCCAGGGTTTATATTTGGAGGTTTACGGTATTTAGACATAATATACTGCAAATTGACTTTCTCTAAAACACCTTACCTTCAACACAGCAAGCATCATATCATAGTTATTGATGAGAAATATCAATTGCTCTTTACGATTCGGAAATTCCGCCGCCATCCTTAGCGCAAACTTTTGAAGTTCCTCTTGCAACATTGCCAGCAGCTTGTTTACCTGTAATGCACGAGGGTTTTGAAGGATTTGTAAGTTGTGAAGGATTTCAGGCCTTAAAATGTCGGTCGGTCACGGACATTGTCCGACCAATTCGTGAAATTGTCCGACGTAGAGAGGAAACCACTGGACATTCTCTCCGACCTAAGTTAAACTGAGGTTTATTGTTTGTCCGATCCCAGTGTATTGGTGCCCGACCGAACTGTAGCTTTGTCCGACGTAAATCAAAATGTACCCTATAGTCCAAGACTAGAGGCTCGTATGTTAAATGGAGAATGACAGTAATGTATAAAAAGTGATATTGACACGGTTATTGACAAGCAAGTTAATTTTGCATTGGCTTGGAAATAAGTATGAATGACACAAATTATTTAATATCTTCACAACATTTAGTTTAGAATTAATACATTGTGCTGATATTAATTTGCCTGACAGGTACCAACTGATTGGTGCCTGACACTGGACATTTTGTGCCTGTCAAAAACTACTAACGCAATAGCGCAAATATAGTTTTTCGTGGTCCTTGAAATAAAAGAAGCCAGTGAAAAGCTTAGTAACCACAATTAAGCCGCTAGTCAATAGACCTTTCCCCTTATAACCAAAATTTTGATCTAGGCAAGTCTAGACAAATATTTCATCACAGCTTGAAAGAGCATCACAAAATTAGTAATATTCCAAAGTTTCGTTGCGAAATGTTGTAAAATGAGGAAAATAGAGCCTTGCGAAGTTTGCAATTTTCAGTCATTTTGCATTACAAACGGGAAATTGCAGCCCCAACACCCGAATCGGATGTCAATTTCCTGTTTGTAATACAAAATGACTGAAAAACGGCAAACTTCGCAAGGCTATATTATCCGCATTTTACAAGATTTTGCAACAAAACTTTGGAATATTACTAATTTTGTGATGCTCTTTCAAGCTGTGGTGAAATTTTTGTCTAGATCAAAATTTTAGTTATAAGGGGAAAGGTCCATTATATCATACGGAATTGAACAATCATAAATTTCACGGCATTTTCACGCGATAAAATTTGAACATACACATAATTCTTAAATGGGAATGCAAATATTTTGAAATCATTATTATGAAATTTTTAATGCCAGCTGTAGACAGTTTCACCAATTAGCCTTTTCCCAAAAGAGATCACAGTGCATTCTGGGATCGTTTGGAGGGACAAAATATGATGACAGGCGTCGAGTGTGTGAAAGAGTAGAAGTATCTACTATCAAATATCAACTTCTTGAACGACCAAAAATGAAATATCTCCTTTTTACATTAAACTTTTAATTTAAATGTGTGCTGCCATATTTCTTGTTCCTCCAACAAGGGATTCGCGCGACTAAGACCCAGGACTTTGGGAAATGGCTAAAGGTCCATACAGACCGGACGCGATTTGGCAACGCGACGCGAATTTTCAATTTTCAATGACATTTAAAAACTATTTTTTAAAAACTAAAAATTTGCGTCGCGTTCGGTCTGTATGGGCCTTAAAGGTCCAGACACACCGGACGCGATTCGACAACGCGACGCGATTTTTTAGTTTTTGAAAGTTAATAAAACAGCCAATATGTAGACCAAATAACGCTTCTAAATATTTAGAAAGTTTAAACTAGGATCAAAGTTATCGGTCAGTGAGAATCGAAAAATCGCGTCGCGTTGTCGAATCGCGTCCGGTGTGTCTGGACCTTAATAGTTGTATTAATATGCTGCCGTGACTGGCCTCTTATTTTCAGGCTTGTACTGTGATCATGCATAAACTTTGATAGTGTAAACTAGCCTTTAGAGACACAAGGCTCGCAGCGAGCTGCGACATTTTGCTCTATCGCTCCCTCCCATTTCCGTGGGAAGTGTATGCCTTAGGCAAGCAGATAGTATGTTGTACATTATACGCACCTTCTCATCCGGAAAACTTTCATTCAAACTAACAATAGCAGCAGAAAATTCCGCATATCTTCTGGTTATCTGCAAAAGAAAGAAAAATCTAGTCACCACTCGATCGCAACTGGTGAGTGGTGGTTACCACCTTTACAAAGACGCGATCGCTAATCTTATATATGCTCAGGTGAAATAATTTGGATCCAGCTTGTGTTTGTGTGCAACAGGGGAGGAAAAAAGTATCGGACTACGCGGGATCATAGCTCGCAGAATTCTCTTTGAATTCTAAAAAAATATTTTCCAAAGAATGAAAAAGAAGATAATTGTAATAATTTAGATAAAAGGAGAAATTCAGAGGAAAAATTCTAACCAATAGAAAGAATGTTACCTGTACTGTAGGTATGACTTCAGAAATGCATTTATAAGTGCATCCATCTTAATAGTGCGATAGTGTATAAATGTATAGACTATAATAGAATGATGTAACAAGTGTTGTATGGAAAATGCATTTTTAGCAAATCTGGGACACCTGATTTTCAACATTTTCTGGGGGAGCATGGATCGTCCTGATAGTGCCTCCTGGTGGTGCCCTTTCTTGGTATCTGTATTTACCTTAGAAACAGACAGTGTTGTAACGAGTCACCTACTGGTCGAGTCACGAGTCGAGTCGAGTCGAGTCACTCAAAGGTCGAGTCACGAGTCGAGTCGAGTCATTTCAGTTTTTGATCGAGTCGAGTCGAGTCAGTGGCTTCACTCGAGTCGAGTCAGCAGCTTCACTCGAGTCAAGTCGAGTCACTGATTTAAGTCGAGTCGAGTCAATTTCTAGACTTGACTTGAGCTACCCTAGCTTGCAGTCGGAAATTAGTAATCAAATTAGTAATGAAAGTAATTACTTTAGTCATTTAATAACAGTATCTGGGCAGCTATAAGCTGTGCCAATATCACAGTTCTAGTCAGTATTAAGTAGAACCACATGAGATGTCTCATCATGCCTGCTGATCGAGTGTACGTACATACAACTAGCAAAACTTGCAACTGGAGTCAGAATTAACAAAGAATAGACTTTAATTAACGCTTTGTAAGTTAATTTGAAATTATATAGCCCTTTATAAATACCAAAAATGAAAATAGCCTGTCAGAATTAGTATATAAGTACAAAAAAATTTGAGACTCAATTTTAAAAACTGTGGCACTAGCGTTGTTTCTAAAAACAGAAATGTAATATAGGTATGCCCGTCAGGAATATATTCTATGCAAATCCCATATATTTTCTGATAAAGTTTCAAAGTTCTCATTGTTTACAGGGCTCATTGTTCTTCCCAAGCAATACAATCACAATAATTGTGATGAATTTATTCTGTACAAGTTGTAGCTTAGTTGACTCGAGTCATTTAAGGCAAAATCAGCAAGTCGAGTCCGAGTCGAGTCATTTGGGGCTGTTGACTCGAGTCGAGTCGAGTCATTTTTCGTATTGGACTCGAGTCGAGTCGCTGAAAATAGCGACTCGAGTTGACTCGAGTCAGAGTCAATGACTCGACTCGTTACAACACTGGGAACAGATCAGACACTTGATGCATGTTATCTAAATTAGTTTTATGTTATATTCCAAAAAGTATTATTATGATTCTCAGTGCACTGAAATAAATTTTATGTTAAAATATAGCATGACATCCAGTTTGACAACTTGTTAGTGTCACACAGTTACACTGTCCGAGTGTCGATTTACCAGAAGGTAAAATATTTTTTCCACCCCTGGTGTGCAAACCAATCTTTACTGAATGTAGAGATATATTGACATTCGTCTGAACTGACCACCTTGACATATTCACGACCGAATGAAAGGCAGTCTTAAACTTACATAATGAGGTTGGACATCAATAGTTCCCATTTTCTGTGGGTCGATCAATCTAATGCTCTCAATATTCTGTTGAATGACGAAAGTGAACCGAGGCCAAAGCATATCTAGTAAGGTATCCAAGTATCTGTGAAGGAAAACGTACAGTTATCATGCAGTGGCCTTGTTTTGTTTGCAGGGCCGCCCAGGGGGGGGGGGGGGCAAAGGGGGCAAATTGCCCCGGGCCCCGAGTTGCTGGGGGCCCCAGAAAAATTTTTGTAGGGCCCCAGCCTTTTTTGTTAAATATTTCCGCGCAAAGGACAAGATATCTGTTTTCTTGGGCTCAGTACCGAATTTTGGCATAAAAAAATGAGATAAAGTCCCTCGAAAGCATTTGCAACGTACTCGTCCGGCAAAATTTTGTACTCCGGAAAAATTTTTTTTACCCCTAAAATGGTACGCTGACCGAAAATTTTTTGGCGACGGGGGGGGGGGTTGTTATCCGGAAAAATTTTTTCCGGGAAAATTTTTTAGATAGGGGTCCCTAAAAAAAATTTGCCCCGGGCCCCCGCCAACCTCTGGGCGGCCCTGTTTGTTTGTATCGTATAAGCTTCACATTTTACTCCTGTTTACACTTGCCAATTTTGCTGCGCTTTAAGGTGCGAATTTCCTCTTCTGATGGATGTGATCGAGTAGATGAGTCATGAAAGTTCGCATGAAGACTCACAACATTCATTACTCATCTATTCGTTCACATCCATCAGAAGGAGAAAATCGCACTAGAAATCGCAGCAAAAATTGCAAGTGTGATTTTTTTGCTGCGATTTCTAGTGCGATTTTCTCCTTCTGATGGATGTGAACGAGTACAGGAGTTACGAATGTTCTGAGTACATGTACCTTCATCTGAACATTGATAATTCATCCACTCGTTCACATCCATCAAAAGAAGAAAATCGCACCTAAAATCGCAAGTGTAAACGAGCCTTTAGTAAGTTCAATTATCATCTTAGTGAGTTATAGTTTCATTTTTATTTTGACACCAGAGTACAACGAAAGGACTGGTTAGGGTAGGGGTTAGGGACAGGTTCAGGAATAATTTATAAGTTATTTTTGACAATTACACAGAGTGTGATTGCCCGATTCACTTGAACCAGATGCACATGATATAACACTCGATAAAATTAAGGCCTGAGGCTAAAGGGTACTAATTTGGTGAGAAAATCCCTGAAACACAGGAGAGAACCACTGAACCAGTCACAACTCACTTAGGTGAGTTTTCAAGTTTATGCAAGGAAGTTACCCAACTTAAGTAAATCCCTCACCCTGCACCTACAACTAAGGAATAGGGAGTAAGTAAGTGCTTACTTGTCCAAAGCAGGAACAGTACGTTTGTGCATGAGTATTCTGTAACGATGAATGATGTGCATACACAGAAATATACCAATGGCGTCGTAACAGGATTGTAAAAATGTGTCCCAGTATTTCTACAAAGAAAACACGAAAGATTACGGGTCTAAGTGTCCATTGCTAACGCAAGGTTTGCTCAGACCAATTTGAGGCTCCCTTTAGTTAAAATCAACATCAACAAAGCTAAGATATCCTATAATGGTGCAAGTTTTTTTTTCAATTCCTACCTAGAGATCTAAAAACCATTGAAAATTAAACGGTTTTATCTTTTACAATAAACCTTCAAGAGTTTTTTTCTCCAACCCAACCACAAAGTACACAGAAAAAAACGCCTAGCCTGTAACAATGTTGTTGAAAACAGGCCTGAACAATATTTTGCTGCCCATATTGTTCCTACATGCAGTCATACTGTATATAGTTATATATAGTATATTTATGAGGGACATAGGGAAGAAATATAGTTACTACTAAGGTATTATTCCGAAGAATATCACTCGAATATCTTAGTAGCAACTATATATGTAAATATTGTTTTCCCCTCTTTAAATAAAGCATGCATGTGTTGTATGAATAAAAAAGCGTGTATTACATAAAGATTTTAAAGAACAGACCAATTTGTCCCAGAAAATAGTCTATGCAAAATTTTCTAGAGCAGTGAAATTATATCCTATTTAGGGGCTGTTTATGCATATGGAACTGGGCTGGCCCGGATGATTCGTTTAATAAAGCTCTTATTACGGCTTTGATAAACATCCAAAATGACATTTCAAAGTTGAATTAGCTTAGTTTGATTCTATTAACAGTAAAAAGTTCACTCAAACGGTCTTTTATGGTCGTGACATCATCCCGGCTCAAACGAACAGGGGGTTGGGCCACTCCCCTTAGCAAAATTTAATGACAGAACTTGCTTATCAAACTTACCATTAACAATGACAAGGTTTTTCCAAACACCGACGTAAAAATTTCTTTAGCAGGATTGCCTTGTACATTGAAGAAATCAACAAGAAAGAGATATTCTCGACAACCATTGTCCAGCAATGCGTAATGTTGACTCCGGAATAAGCTTTCGGATGGATACTAAATACAAAAAAAAAACATGTGAATGCCCGAAACAGACAAATCTTTTTCCTGAGAAGTTTTCTTTTACAAATTAAAATTACAAATGAGAACTACTTTGGCTAGTTCCATGTCTGTGGTGGACAAACCAGAAAAAAAACTGGACAGATGTTTCAGTAGTTTCCTGGTTTGCTCATGCAATAGTTATTTTAGGCTTGCATTTCCAACCCACCTTTCGATCGTTCTTCTGAGCAGCGTGCGGCACAATGATTGGCTCCTCGAGTTCTGACGTCAGCACGTTACCACGGTTACCCAAGGTGAATATTGTCGACCTGTTTCGCAATGCAACGCGCGATGAGAATAGACGTAAAAACTGTTAAGAAAAACGCCTGACAAAGATTTTGATTAAATAAAGTATTCTTCACTCTAACAACACCCAGGTTAAAAGTTTCCTGGTTATTCTAAAATTAACAATGTGTGGGGTAACTTCACATCCTAAAATGCACCTCCTAATGGGTCACATCCTAAAATGCACCTTTTCATCGATATTTGCGAAAATCTTGCTTCAATCAATCTATTTTATTAGCCAGGAAATCGTATAATCAAATACGCACTAAAGAATTTAAAGACTTTCTTCGCTTTTTCACACAATTCGAAGACTTTTCAAAGCCTTAAAGACCAGGGGCCGGTTGTTCAAAGCTGGGTTAGCTTAACCCTACATTAACCTAAAATTCAAGCAAACTTCCTGACAGCTTGTCTATAAATTTGGAACTATTTCTTCAGAGATCTTGTCTGGATCCATAGGAGTTTACTTCTCTCACGTTTTGAAATAAACAGACGTGCAGAAATACACAAACTAAAACAGCAGGTTAAATTTTAACCCAGGGTTAGCTTTAACCCACCTTTGAGCAACCGGCCCCAGCATTCAAATTTAAAGACTTTCAAGGATTTCAAAGACCGCTACGAACCCTGGGCTAATTTAGCCAGGATTAAGCTCAGTAAGATGTCACCAATATGCCCATCAACAGACGAATAACGCTACTCCTTGAAGACACCAAGATATTTTTGTCCTAAAAAAGGATATTCTTTCGTGCATTGTCTTCGACTCCCATAAGATCGTCTTTGTCAGGAACTTCGTCGTACTATAAAATAGAACAAAAAATAGTACGATGTCTTCGGTTGGAAAAGGATTTGGGTTGTTTGTTGGCCTAGTCGTTAGAGCTATAGCAAGCGCCTTTCACCTATGAAATCGTGGGTTCGAATCCCTCGTTGCCCATTCATGTGAAAAGAGTCAGGACATTTATGATATAGTTCCTCAAGCGATAAAACTGATATCGCCTTGTCCCTCATATCATAACACACACATACTAATAATAGCTTAGAATAAATTACTAAGGGGCCATTCACAAAGGATGTCCGAGCCAAGGGGGGGGAGGGGGGTTTGGAAAATCAGGACAAACTCGGACATAGGGGGGGGGGGGGGGGGGTTAGCAATCCGGATGTCCGAAATTTTAAAAAATTCAAAAACAAATTTCTTTTTCCCTCTATTTTGAGCAGTCCTTCTCATTGTGAAATTGGCATTTTGACTCTGCGGTTAACACTAGATTTTGTTTTAATGAGTAATTTATATGTTTTTGTATTCACATTTATAGTTATAAAAAAGTTCTAAAAGTAAAAAAGTTTTTTACTCTTGACAAATACAAGATTGTGTGAGTTTTTGCGAGGCATGGTGGATGTCCGGGGGGTCACTAATTCGGACAATGCCGGACAAGGGGGGAGGGGGGGTCTGAAAATCCATCATTTGGCCGGACATCCTTTGTGAATGGCCCCTAACATGAAGACAAGTTGGGGGGGGGAGGGGGGGGGGATACAGCAACAGAAGGTGACATTAGTTTAATAAAGTTTTTGATGACATTATAGTTCTACTGTAGCTAATGAAGTGGCTTCCACAAAAAAAGTTCCAGTCCGATATATATTGATTAAAAAAAAAACGATCTGCATATTTGGATCTATCAAATGTAACACAGACGTGAGACCAAACATTATTTTATAGAGTTGTACAAGACAACTTGAGCTTCTTAAGCTACTTTCCTCGTGGGGTTGATCTGGACCACATACTATAACGACCTTAAGATCTAGGACGGCAACGTGACGACGATGACTATAGTAATATATACAGTAAAATTAATAAATATTTAAGAAAAGGATTAAAGGAATAAATAATTAAAATCTCACGAGAAATTTAGACGTCGTCCTCGGTCTTTTTACAACCGGTAAACCGAGTTTTTACGTTTGCATTTTAGTCACGTAAGAAGTGGATACTCAGCAAATAGACCTTTCCCCTTATGAGTGAAATTTTGATCTAGACAAGCCTGGACAAAAATTTCATCACAGCTTGAAAAAGCATCACAAAAATAGTAATATTCCGTTGCGAAATGTTGTAAAATGCGGATAATATAGCCTTGCGAAGTTTGCCGTTTTTCAGTCATTTTTCATTACAAACCGGAAATTGATAATCAGATGATCAAACTGATGATCAATTTCCCATTTGTAATACAAAATGACTGAAAAACGACAAACTTCGCAAGGCTATATTATTCGCATTTTACAACATTTCGCAACGAAACTTCGGAATATTACTAATTTTGTGATGCTCTTTCAAGCTGTGATAAAATTTTTGTCCAGATTTGTCTAGATCAAAATTTCACTCAAAAGGGGAAAGGTCTATTGGTCCAGTACTAATGTGGAACTCTACTCAATAAAAAGTCTCTGTTTTGAACTCTTCAAGCTGTGTTAAATCATACGATTGATAATATACGACAAGTTTTCTTTACAATAATTTATTTGAACGAGTTTGTTTTGGTATTGTCTCTATTAATCTTGTAGCTCGCCGCTGAATCGTTTCTATTACAGTCCATTTACATGCTTTATACCATATGCGGGTTCCATACTTGACAGCAGTATTTCAATATTGGTTTCAATATAACCACTTATAGTTTGGACCATAGTTAATAGAGGAGATGGTTTGGAAACTCATTAGCATTACAATAAACCTCACTATCTATGTTTTTGTTCAGGTTTATGCAAAAATGTGGTCTTTCATCGTCACGTGCGTATTGTATTTTTGCTCAACCAGCCAATAGCAACGGTTTTGTCCAATTGCCCATCCATGACAATAGGACATTTTAAACATTCCTATTGGTTGACTTGAGAAAAATACAATACGGACGTGACGATGAAAGACCACATTTTTGCATACTGCCTGAACAACATAGATAATGAGGTTTATTGTGATTCTATTGTAATGCTAACGAGTTTCCAAACCATCTCCTCTATTAACTATGTTTGGACGTACCTGTAATTTCGTCAGCTTACTGATATAAGCCTTGAAGTAAGAGAAGTAGACTTTGCTGATGGTGTCAACATATTCGTCCTTAATCTCTCGCGCAACTTGACGATGATGAACCATTAAAAATTCATTAAAATATCTACAAGAGAAAAATTTGGTCTTCATATTGCATTGTTGTGAATGATTGTGTAAACTCGCTCGTCCATTTGGTGCAGGCGTGTGGAAGGGGAGGGGGCTCATGGCCCCTTGCTAGAAAAAAATCCATGCTGGTTTGGGGGAGGGGGCTGACCTCCCAATACTTTTGAAGATTGCATATTCATAACCAGGAAAGTTCTTTGCAACTGTAGTGTTGAAATGATGTGGTAATGATGTTAGTAATATGTACACTACTTGATTACTATGATCATACTATTAGGTCATGTATGTGGCTCCAACATAAAATAGCTTCGGTATATCGGAATCTTTTATTTGAAGTTAAGCCCTTTCTTCAAAAAACATCAATTGAAGAATAACCAGGCAAAAATAAATATTGGAACTTTCCATGTTTATCATGTTGCAACCATAGAAATAAAAGATATCTATTATTTCTATGCTTATCACCCACACGTGATATGCATCACCCAGCACCTAACCTGCGAACGGGCATACTCTGGGTAGGAGATTGGGTAGTAGACTAAAATGCTTGTATTGATCCCTAGGCAAGTCACGCACCTGTGTTTTAGAAGAGCGTTCTGTGGAATCTGGTAATTCGTCATTGGTTTTCGAAATTGATAAACTTTTGGCAAGATAAATTCTCGGATTTTCTGAACAGCCTGAAACACAAAACACTGTGTTATACTGTGTGATAGGAATTGATTTCAATTGGAGTATTTGCGATGAAAAGTGTTCAAAACCTAAAATCGTTTTGGCGTCCCTCTCAAAATTACTTTGTTTAAGCAAAATAAATTTTGTAGTTTACATAGTTAGCAATCTTTTCAAATGTATCTGACCATCTGGCGGTTGAGAAACACAAAATAATTGTTAAATATTGTAAATTTAAATACAATTATCACTGATGCTGTAGAATTGACGCCGTATTTAATATACAGCAATATAAGCAAAACTTACTGAACTTCAGACATCATTTTCTCTTTGGCGTACCATCTAAAATCTCTTCATTTTAGCATTATTTTACAGATAAAGAACTAAACATACCCTTTACGTTTTTTGCCGCTTGAAAAACGTATGGAAAATTAAAAAATTGAATACAGTCATAACCAAGTCTTTTTACATGTGAATATCCCTATTTTAATTTATTATTCTATTTCATATGTACCAAGTCCCTCGTTGTAAGATCAGTATTCGTAAATTAAAGTTTCTTTTTATGTCGTAAAAACAAATTCTCCTCTTAACATTTTTCATTATAACTCACCTTCAGTTTCAGCTTGTCTAACACATCTTTGACATCATTACAACATTTGAAATCGTTAAATGCTTGTTCTTTGACAAAATTGATCTTATGGTCGAGCTCATGAAGATTTTCAATAAAAGATTGTTCTGTAACTGGCGTCTCGGTGATATGCCTAAAATACGAATTACATTATGTTGCAGTTGTACTGGCCACACCGAATTTAGCAAAATTCCTATACAGTTTGTTCGTTTTTATTATATAAACATAAGTGTTATATAGAGTTTTTGGCCACTGAGAAAAATCGTATTTAAACACACGTAAAAAATACGATATTTTTACGTGTGAAAATATCATTTGTTGTAAAACGCATTGCCACGGACGTTTTATTGTTTTTCACTGAATTTTGTTTATATAATAAACAGAAAAATACATGGCTGCTTGGAAATACCAGATTTATTTCTCGTGTTGAACATGATATCTCACTCGTTCGCTGCGCTCACTCGTGAGATATCATGTTCAACACTCGAAATAAATCTGGTATTTCCGCGCACCCATGTATTATTCTCTATATATACGCCAATATTCTCTCTACAAAAAGACCATGGTACATCTTTTGCACAGGCACCTTTCAAAACTTTTCATTTGTATTTTGTTAATACAGGGTCAGACATCCTCGTATAAATAAGCAAAAACGATCAGGTTTTCCATAGAGTTGGGTTCATGTAATTAGCCATTCCGAAGTTGATGAGAGGACTGGGAACGACTGTTAAAAAGTGCCCGAATTAAGAAATGAACCAAATCATTAAAAAGACCACCTCAAAATTAGTAAGTATATACAAAGTTTGAAGACATTTACATGAATACCCTTCGAATAGTAAGGTTTCGAAAATCGCGATATTTACTATGAATGATATTTACTATGAATGTACTGTAATTTTTGTTTTTGTGGACGCGCGTCCCCAAAACAATCTTTTTAATCAGTAATTTCACAATTTTCGAAAGCTTATTATTCGAAGGGTATTCATGTAAACGTCTTCAAACTTTGTATACTTACTAATTTTGAAGTGGTCTTTTTAGTGATTTGGTTCATTTTTTAATTTGGGCACTTTTTAACACTCGTCCCCAGTCCACTCATCAACTTTGGAATGGCTAATACTGTAAACCTCGGAATATAAGCCCTCCCCCGTGTGTAAGCCCATCATGTTAACCAATGCTAAGGCTATTCCGAATATAAGCCCCACCCCTCCCGATCAGGTCTCGCGTCTTTGGTGTTCTCTTCGCCCCTTCAAAAATAAGGCCCGCATGGCTACGCCACTGTACATTAGATAATTGTGCGACCGAAATTTGGAATTCAAAGCCAGCAGGTTCAAGCGTCAATTAGACCCCGTTCACACGATACCGGCAGAGTTTGAAAACGGAACGAAATTCTTACGTTTAGGGGTTGCGTTCACACGATGCCGGTATGAAAAAATGTGAAACCGTAACGCTAACCGTAAGAGTTTGAAAACGGTATGCAAACCGTAAGAGTTTGAAAACGGAACGAAATTCTACCGTCAGAGTGCCGTGTGAACGCCTAACCATAAGAATTTCATTACGGTTATGCAAAATGAAATTAACAAAACTGCAAAAGTTGTTGCTGGATATTTTATTCTGTCCATTTTAACTGATTTGTGCAGCATATTGTCGAAGCGGAATATAATCTGCCGGTATCGTGTGAACAGTTGAAACCGTGATGATTTTCTGCCGGCAGAATGCCACGCCGGTATCGTGTGAACGGGGTCTTAATATCGTTGTTCTCCGAAAACTGAACGAACTTTATCTTTCCGCATATACGTTATAACTCTTGAAAATAATTCCTTAAGGTGGAGTAATACGAGCAACAAAATTGCTACAACTTGCAACAAAATCTGATTTCTACGCATGTTTATTGAAAATGTTTATACACATAAATTACAAATCACGAGGCACATGTGTCGACATTTCTACTTAACATGCGTTGAAATAAGATTTTGTTGCAAGTTGCAGTAATTTTGTTGCCCGTATTACTCAACCTTAAGCATTAATCAACTTACCTTATCATAGTTTCACTAACAAGCATCTCGTCCACAAACTGGCTAAGTTCACCACGGATTGCCTAAACAAGTTTTTATTGCTAAGTTACTTTTGAAACTGAATTCTCGTGACGTTAAAACTTCATTTGTACAATACAAAAATTCCAATAATTGAAACATTGGGTCATTTCAGAAAAAATCCACCCTGTCCCCAAGGAGAAAATTTCTGCGGCCCGGCGGCGAAATGGAGAAAAATTATGTTTTTGATAATGGTAAGTGTATTAGGACATCCGAACAAGGTAGGGGGTGGGGTTTAACTTCCAATTTCCTTCGCGGGGAGGTATGTTTTCTGGACTACTTTTATAATCATTGGTAAAATATAATCTTTTTAAAATGTCGTTTTAGTCCAGGGGTTTCAGAATAAGCCGGCGGCCGGCGGAGTTCCGCCGGCTACTTGAACTTTTACCGCCGGCTACTTTTCGCTGGTCACAGGAAAAAATTATATACAAAGGTACAAGCGAACCAACACGATGTTTGTTATGTTCCAATTGGAATTCAAGCAAAACATCACTTATTTTGGAAGATCAATAATATATAGTACCAAACATAGCTTGCTTTCTAAGACTAAGTTGGTGTCGAAGTGAATCTTCCTGGAAGATAACTCTGATTGACTCTGACAGTGACTTAAGCATTGCCATTGGGGAATCCGAATTTGACAGTGAGCCAGAGAACCTTCAGAGCCACTTTGGTAAATGTTTTTGGCAAGTGACTAATTCTTTGACAACGAATTAATTATGATAAAGTGATGAAGTAAAAAACTCTGGGCCGTAGCATTATAGCGTAGAATTAACATATTCGGAAAATCGGGTTGACCATTCGGAAAATTACGGCAATAATAGTATAACAAAATTTTAGTTGTTAAACAGAGAAAATATAATATAATTGTATTGTCAGTATAAACTGATTTACGAAATCATGGCATTTACATGGATATTAACATTTAACAAATCGTAAATCGGTAAATATGCATGCATACCTTTATCATTTAAATAATATACCTTTAAAATACTGACAATTGATTAATTTTAAGCGGCTACATTATCCATGACAAACTGCAAAGAACCATATTACCCATACTTTCCTGCAACTTCTCCATGCAATATATAGTTAATTACATACGCCTTCGCCCATTTAGTACTACTAAATTGTAAACAAATTGTAAATTTCGACATACTAAAACGGTGATCGCTAGATAGTATACTTCAAAATAAGGTTTCCGTCTTTATAACGTAGAAAAAACTATCCTAACGCAAAACTAAACCCTAACCCTAATACTCACCCTAACCCTAACCCCTAACCTCAACTTATTTTTATTATTTTAAAAATTGATATAAAAACGGAAACCTTATTTTGAAGTATACTATCTAGCAATTGCCCTACTAAAACGCTGTTTTCTGACCATCAGAATTCTGTTCTAAACTTCCCCAAAGTCCAGGAAATGGCATTTCAGAGACTCTAAATTAAAAAATTTCCTCGGGCCTTCGGCCCTCGTTCTCAGCCCCTAATAAAAAAGAGCTTCCTACGGCACTGCATGCTACTCCGCTACTGTAATATGTATATTTTTGTTTGTAAATTGCGTCTTCATTTTCCGGACTGCAAAACCTTCGTGATTAAACTACAAGTAGCGCATTAAAGTACATATGTCACTATAAATGCAAATGACATCTAAATCTAACAAGTGAACAGTTGTACATTATCTTCTCACTTATTCTATATTATCTGATTGTTAATTTGCGCGCGAATTTTTTTTTAATTTCCATGCGAGGGCACGCCCCCCCCCCTGCGTGTTTTTAACTATCAGTCACAGCCGGCTACTTTTTTGGTACAACCGCTTACTTCAAATCATTCTGAAACCCCTGTTTTACCTGCCTATTTTTCAGCTTAACATTCATAGACATGGATTGTTCTTGTAGAGTTTGAATTTCAGAACTGATGCTGCCCAAATCTTGCTGCAATTCAAAGTCATAAAAATTTTTTCGATCAATTTTAATGAATAGCATTCTGATGAATAACAAATAAAGCCTGGCGGCCCTGGCCTGGCGCACACGATGCGATTTTAGTCGGCCGATAAAAATCGTTTGACTAAAACTAACAAAATCGTTTTGTGTGCGGTGGCATTTTTAACCGATTTTTGTTGCTCGATTTTAATCGGACAACATCAAAACGTTTTGATATTATACGATTTTTATCGGTGGAATTTTAAGTATAACCAATCAGATTTCATGCTGTGATCACGTGCTTGTATTTATTTGGCAACAAGGCGGCTACAGTTCAGGGAGCGTATTTTTTTCGTAATCGTGTGCGGAGTATACCGATGTATATCGGTATGTCAAACGATTTTTATCGGCCGACTAAAATCGCATCGTGTGCGCCAGGCTTAAGGATCTATCAAATAAATGCAAGTTAAAATATATATGTGCACAAATTTGAAACAATTTAATGTTGTTTTTACCTGAAAATTTGTCAACATATCTTCCATTCTCTAGGTGGGAAAGTTTATTATTAAATACAAATGCGACGCAAATATATGTATATATGCATTAGAACTGAACGTAGCCTGCAACAAATATGTGCGAGTTTTTCTTGAATGGAAAACCTGAACCATTTTTTTGAACCTTGAACCATCATTGAGATTGTAAAATTGATGCCATATTTATACAGCAATATATATATATTAGCAAAACTTATACTGAACTACAGACAACATTTTCTGTTTGGCGTACCATATAAAATCTCTTCATTTTAGCATAACTTTGCAGATAAAGCAAAAATTTGAATATAGTCATAATCAAGTGGAAAAGTTTATTAATTAGTTTTGAGCTCGTGTTACGTAACATACAAAAGGTTCTTCTCTTAATAACTTGCAAATGGCAAAGCCAAAGACATACACACCTCCAGGATGGTGTCACATGCTGCTATCTGTTTGTGCAAGCTGGCAATATTATCACTTTCCTTGATATCTACGTCAAAACCAGTCAAGAAAAAACACTATGCAACCTTGCACGGTGTCAGCCAGAAGATTAAAAAAATCGGCAATTTAATGGACCTATTCCCTAATGAACAAAATTTTGATCTAGACAAGTCTAGACAAAAATTTCATCACAGCTTGAAAGAGTATTACGCACGGGAAATTGATACCGCTTTCTGAAAAAAGGTATCAATTTCCCGTGCGTAAACAAAATGACTGAAAAACGACAAACTTCGCAAGGCTATATTATCCGCATTTTACAACATTTCGCAACGAAAGTTCGGAATATTACTAATTTTGTGATGCTCTTTCAAGCTGTGATGAAATCTTTGTCTAGATCAAAATTTTGTTCATTAGGGAATACGTCCATTAATGAAATTGGGAATTTCAGTAATAGCCTGCGACATTCAGACCCGAGTTATAGTATATCGTGTTTCTTAAAGTGTGACTAACCCCAAATATGATTTTTGGTATGTGTAATATTTGGGTCATTCGAAGACGAAATGTAATATATCTTTATAATAAAAAATGCCATCTTGATCAACTTTTTCACTGTCAAAGTTTCCGGATATCATGTCATCAGGTGAATTGCAAATTAGTTTTCCTTTGTTTTTTGTACCAAAAATTCACCTAATGACATCATATCCGGAAACTTTGACAGTGAAAAAGTTGATCAAGATGAGGTTCTTCACTATAAAGATACATTACATTTCTTCTCAGAATGACCCAAATATTACACGTACCAAAAATCATGTTTGGGGTTAGTCTCGTGGCCTAGCGCCAGCTGAGCTAAATTGAAACTTTTGAAGTGAAGTCACCTGACATTGTTTTGCGTACTAAAAACAGACAAGCATACATTTTAGGCTACATATCATATGACATCCTCGCAACACTTATCTGGTACACAATTTTTCTTGAGCAAAATTGTGAAGTTGAACAATCTTTTATATATATAATAGTAATACGTTTTTGGCTGACCTAAATTGTGAAATTGCCGGCTAAACGAAATGGGGGAAAACGGCGTATGATGCCGAATTTTTTACTGTAGCTGACACCTTGCAAAAGGGATTATCATCTGGCCACTTTTTTAAGTAACTCACTTTGTTACAACATGCAAATAATTACAATTATAGATAAGGATACAATCACCAATTGAAGAGTTTTCAACATTGTGTAAATCAGCTTCAATTTGCTTTGAATACTGTCTTAAATCAACACCCTAATATTATGAAGAAAAAAATTGATATTTAATGGATATTTACTTGACTTGACAGAAACTTGCTGAGTTTAATATTCCAGGCAATAAAAAGATTGTATTTTCCTTACTTTCTCCAAAGCTTCTTTCACCAATTCATCCTCCAAATTTGCTTGAATATGTTCTAAATGTAAAGTTATATGGCTATATATACTCCGACATGCAACAGAAAGAATGACACCATAAAAGCCTGATTCTAACCATGGGTAAATGGGTAATTCCAGTTATAGACTAAATTTTGATCAAGGCAAGAAGAACGAAATACAACACCACAGCTAGAAAGAGCGTCTTAGAATGAGTAAAACTGCAAAGATTGGTTGCTAAATGTTGTAAAATGAAGAAAATATAGCCCTGTGAAGTTCGCAAATTTTGTACATATTTGTATTACGCGCGGTAAGAATAACCACTTTCGGCTCAAAAATAGTCATTTTCGACGCGCGTAATGCAAATATATACGAAATTTTCGAACTTCACAAGGCCATATTTTCCTCATTTTACAACAATTCGCAACCAAACTTTGCAATTTTACTAATTTTAACATGCTCTCTCCAGCTATGGTTATACAATTACTTTATGGTTTCCGTGTTTGGATGGCCTGATCCAAACACGCGGGAATGTTGCGAGGGTTAAGAAAAGCGAGCGAAATCACGAGCCGAAGGCGAGTGATTTTGCCCGCTTTTCTTAACTCGAGCAACATTCCCAAGTGTTTGGATCAGTCCATCCAAACACGGAAACCATAAAGTAATTGTTTTATAAAATAACAACAACACGATAGTCTTCCGTGTTTGGATGGCCTGATCCAAACACGGCTTTCGACCAATCAGAATACGCGTTATGTACATGTTATTTTATAAAATGGTTTCGTTCTTCTTGCCTTGATCAAAATTTAGTCTGTAGCTGGAGTCACCCACATCAGGATTTTGGGCAACTCACTCGATTGAAGGGGTTTACAGGAATCGAACCTGCGGCCCTGTGATTCTGGTGCAGTGCTCTAACCAACTGACCTACAGAGAGACAGTCGTCAAGCTCTAACCAACTGACCTACAGAGAGACAGTTGTCAAGCTCTAACCAGTAACCACTGGAGAGCCTGAAATAATGGTCGGACATTGGACATTTTCCAACAAAATTACAGTTTGTCCAGTGGCGTAACGTTATATCAGGGGGCCCCCGGTTCAAAATTTTCGAAGGCCCCCCCCCCCCAGTAGAAGTGCAAAAGGCACGAGTTGAGTGCCGTATGCACAAGTTTTCTAGGGGTCCAGGGCATGCTCACCCGGAAAATTTTTGAATCTAGACTCTCTGAAATGCCATTTGCCCGACTTTGGGGAGAGATTTTACAGAATTCTGATGGTCAGAAAACGACATTGTGAAATATCAGAGGCCCTGGCCAATGTTTTTGCTCTACAGCCTGAGCCCGGGGGCCCCCATTTGGTCCATTGGGATTGAGGGCCCCAGGGTTTGTCCGGTCCGAGCGCACAGTACAGTAGTTACGCCACTGAGTTTGTCCAACTAAATGCTCAATTGGTTGGACACTTTGTCTGGACAAAACAGAGCAAATACTGTAGACTGGATCAAAGATATTACAGTATACATGTGTTCCTAACTACTGGATCTACAAATACTGAGAAATAATGTCATCGGAAGACGTGAGCCACATATTTTTCAAATATCATAATCGGCTCAGTCCTGATAAATTACAGTGTGTAAACATAGCTTAGAGCATTCCTTACTGCTAGTGCTTGATGGGTAGAAAGGCTGGACCCAAAAAATGTCAGACCAAATACCAAAATGTCCGATCAAATTTTTTTTGGGAATTTGTAGATGGAAATTCTCATAGGCGTTGAAAGATCGATAAGTGTGGGGGGGGGGGGGCATATTCATATATTCGTGTTCACAGACCTTAAAAACAATCAATTTCAAAAGAAATTAATAATGCAGAACACAAATATATGAATATGGTCCCCCTCACTTATCGATCTTTCAACGCCTATGGAAATTCTAACCATGTACAGATTGATTTATTTTACTTTATAGACACTAACCATTCACTTCATCCAAGATAAATTCATCTTGAGAAGTCAGATCTAGCTCTCCCAAATTTAGATCTAATTCCTGAGGTTTAAAAATATCATACACTTAACAAAAAAATCTGTCATCATGACCACCATTGTAAATCTTATGTATTGGCAGAGGGGAAGTGTTAATGCTTATTTCTATATTTATTGATCAAAATCCAAATTTTTTTCGTGCGTGTGTTGAAGAAGGATGTTCTGCTTCTCTGTGCATAGCCCATGAGAAAAAAACTTGAAATCCTTTCCATTTATGGTGGTCCTAAGTTGAAAACAGTGTAGTTGTGATGTAATTATCGAAAGGGTGTATTGATATTGAAATATTGAGATAGAAATTTCTTTGACCTTATTGATTAATGTTGATTATCAATAACACAGACATTCCAACTCTCCCGATTTTACCGGGAGTCTCCGGAAAATTCATGCAATCTCCCGGTTTTTATCAAATTCTCCCGATTTTTCAGAATATTCAGGAAATATCATAAAAAGTTATATAAATATACTGTTTATAGCAACATAATAGTCTGTCTTGACCTTTTTTGAAGTTGCTTTATGGCAATCTATAGGATCACTTATAACAACATAGTCCCAAAATGCAGGAAACGCCATTTCAGAAGACTTAATTTTTATTCTTTTTTCCCAGAAGAACTAGATTTCTGATTCACTGAACAGTCTCCCTAAATTTTACCTCCAGTGGTTGGAATGTCTGTAACAATCAATATACTATTCCATTAATGATTTTTATTAATTGCATATTTGCATATTAAAATTGCATGGACCAGGTATTTGATAGCGTGATTTTTACAGTGTGTGCATTGACTAATATTTTTGTACTCTGATATAGTCATTTAATACAAACACTACAAAAATAACAAGATTAAAATGACATTATCTACTTGGCAGTTGACACCAAGTCAAGAGTAAGAACATACATAATACATGTATATACATCAATACATATTCTTGCAAGTTGGAATATTTAATTTTTAATTATTTTTATAACACTATTAAACACTTTTAATTGTGCTGTTGAATTGGCGTACTGAAAAACATGTAGGATGTAAAGAGAATTCACAGACCTCATCTTCGTCTTCGTCTTCCTCTAATGCACTAGTTTTAATTTGGCCGAATGAAAACGTTTCTTTTGGCAAAGCATTTTCACTTATGTTTTCTTCTCCCAAATTTTCCGCCATCTTGAATTTAGCCTCAATTTATATCCAGCCCGCAAACACCCTTAATTTGCAGCCCCATTTTTTCACTGATCTTACAACTACACTGGATCACTGGATGTGTATACCAAAAAATATATATGACAAAAAATATACCTGCATGAGCGTCCTTCATTCTTATAAAATTTGCAGTAAATAACTACAGTAATGGTGTCATTACAGAAATTACAGTAATTCTTGTGATTATGATTATAAATATTCTGACATGGTTTATCTCCTTATATATTTTCAAGTAGTTGCATCCCCACCAACAAAAGCTTGTTCCATTCTCATTTCAAGTTTATACTCGAAACTTTTGTAATTACTTTTACTCTATGTTATTCATAGGCACTCAAATGTTGTACTCCATCCAGCAATTTGAGATCAGTAATTGTAAAGCGGAAGTCAAAAAGCGGAAGTTCATGTGAATCTTATAATTCGAAACTTGATTACAAATTCACAATTTTATAAACAGCTGACAGCTGTGATATTAATATGATATCAAGTGCTGGATATGCAGCCGGTACGACCATATCCACATGACTATATAGTCGGTAAAGTATGCGAGTAAATGGCGACTGTCAGTCGCGCATCATGTATACTTCCAATCCAAACGCTAATCCTAACCCAAACCCTAATCCTAACCCTAATCCTAACCCCTAACCCTAACCCCACCTCCTAGCCGCTGACCCCTAACCCCACCTGCTAACCCCGCAACCTAACCGCAGACCCCAACCCCGGCCAGCTGCCACTGCGGGAACTATACTCCCACCTCCCCACCGTCCCCCAAGCAAGGACAGCTACACTTATAACTAAAACTCTTGTGCAGTGGTTACGGTTTACTAGCAGGCTCAGCCATACGACGGTGCACATTTTCCTCGACTATCAGTCGCCACTTTTCCGCATACTTTAGCGACTATCTAGTCGCATAAAATGGTCGTACCGGGTGATAGCGCATCTCGGAATACAAAACTGAAGCCAAAAATCTCAGCGGTTTCCCCCATGAAAATAGGCGGCGGCCATATTGGTCGTTCCCACTCATCAATGAAATGCTATAGAAAAAAATACTATACTTTTCGAGGCTTTTTTGCATTTCTGGATTAAAAATACCTTTTTGAGGTACGTTCGCCTTGAAATCGCAGCTTTTTTGGAAAAGGGTACAAGAAAAAAACATTAATTGGCGATGTTGTTGTCTTTGAATCGCATTTTAAAGCTAAAAATTTCGAATTACGACATTGGCTTTATATACTTGTTTTGATCTGTGAGTGATTCTCTGGTGAGTATCGTCTAATCAATACATGTACTTACGGTTTCTGGCACCACTTTATGGAAATGGAAGTTGGTAAGTAACGTTTCGACTATCGGCGTAGGCAGTTTATACTGTAAAGTTTTCACTGTAAATCTTTAGTGAAATGTTTGAGACAGTCTGAGTCTGCACTTTCAGCTTGGGTAGTTTTCACTCTAAATCTTTAGTGAAACGTTTGAGACAGAGTTTGCACTTTCAGCTTGGGCAGTTTTCACTATAAATCTTTAGTAAAATTATGTTTGAGGCAGAGTGTGCACTTTCAGCTTGGGCAGTTTCATAGTAAATTTTAGTAATATTTAGCTTTCTCTGATACATTCTGTGTAATCACTCACACTGGTGCTTAAAAGGTACAAGTTTATTTAATTTCTTTCTAATTTTTTGTCCAGATGAATTCTCAGTGGTCTTTTTTGCAAGATGGTAAAATTTAACCTCACAGTAACTCTTTACTCTTGATGATGCTCTTGGTCAACTGAAGTATAACATGATTTTCACCAACTGGTGAGTCAAAAATATGGTGATCTAGCTCAGTAAAAAGATTGTATATGGACAATGAAGCCAGAACATATGGACAATGAACAATGAAGCCAGAACAGAAGTGGTCAGAGCATATAAGTGTCTGCTTTCTGAGAACAGAACAGTATGGACAATGCAACCAGAACAAACGTGGTCAGAACATATAAACATCTGCTTTTTGGGTGACCACTTTTCTTGATGAACATTTTGTATCAACTGTTTTCATAGTACTTCATCCTTAGGGATGTTTATCATGTTAATGCAAGTCTAATTTCAATCAATATAATAGTATACTGTAAAAAACTAAAATAAATTGCTTACTGATGAAATGTCCTGGGAAGTTTTCTTTTGATTTTTGATTCTGTCACTTGACCCTTCACTATTACTTCTTATACTTTTTGCATCAGGAATGACTTTACCCATTGCTATGAAATTTTCTGAGTTTAATTCAAATTTTTAATTTCAATTGGCACCACAACTTCTTCAGGTCTCCAAATTTTTTTTAAAATTGGACATTTTTTTAATGATATTTACAGTAACCACTAAACTCAAAAGGCAAAAATTGAGAGTTTATCATGTTTTCAATTCCTGAGAGTACTGGCAAATTTATTTTATTTTTTAGAAAGGTTTAATTATTGTGCATCTGATGAGTCAAAGAATTAGAAAACACTATTACACAAAGTCAAAAGTAATACTTTATTATAACAATAGAATTATTTATACAATAGTGAGTGCAACTATATTTAAGATTATAAAATCTACTGTGCATCAAGCAGTTTATCCCATTGACCTTACAATATACAATATACAATAATGCAAGAAGTAATGTGTCTCATCATAGGTAGCCCAACAATCCGCATGCCGTGACGTATGATGCAGTAGTATAATATTATACTACTGCATCATACGTCACGGCGTGCGGATTGTTGGGCTACCTATGGTCTCACATAGGTAGCCCAACAATCCGCACGCCGTGACGTATGATGCAGTAGTATAATATCCTAAGGTTGGCAAGTAAATAATATCATGACTCGCCACGGCTTAAGCCCGTTCTCCACTAGGCGAATTTGTTCGCGCGACGCGAAGCGAAAACCGAAATCCGGCAACGTGATTGGTCGGCGAAAAAATTCGCGGCGAAAAAGTAGGATCGCTTCCTACTTTTTATCTGTTCGCGCGAATAAATTCGCCTAGTGGAGAACGGGCTTTAAACAAGTCGAAAAAAACAACGTCTTGTGAACAAAGTACGCTAAAAAATAGCAGCCTCTACTTGTAGGATAGTTTTACTAAATATGTACAACGTTTTTTTGCAACAACACGAGTTTATAAGACGAAAAAATACGAAAGTTTTCTTTGAATTTGCCGTGTCTCGATGCGGGATGCCTGTTGCCATGTGAAAATCGCCGTTTCAAAACACGTATACGCGATCCTATTGGCTATCAAAAAACGGACAAAACAGCTTCCAGGGGGGGGTTTACCATTTGTCTGCTAGCAAAAATGCTTTCGAGTTGGTTCGAATGAAAAAGATTACGGCAGTAGTGCACGCAACTGCTATGTTTATAGCCGATCATGTCGTCCGGTGATCTGTGGATTATTTGTCAAAATTTGTCGGTTTTAAAGTATTAAGCGGCGGCAAGGTTCGGTTGGCAGTTTAACTGCACAGGCGACTTTTCAAAACATTATAAATCGATCTGAAGCTGATCATCGAACAGATACTGCACGGTGAGTTTTGTGCATGTAGATTGTAGTTTAGCATTGACCCATTGTCCTTTAATTAAAAAATGTGCAGGTATAAAACCGAAAAGTTGATTTTTGAACACTGTGTCAGTATTTGAGTATCAACTTTAATTTGCAGAACAGATTTTTGTGTATATATAAATTCGGGTATCAACATGCATGTATATACTACAGTATAAACATCTCAAAATGTTTTATTAAAGTGATGTGCCATGGGTAGGATAAAGGCCTATTTAAAGCCAGACTATGGAAAATGAGAAGATCAAAATATTTTCTATTTTTTATATTTGTAGTATAAGGTTCAAACGTACAGTTTTTATTTTAATATTTTCACGTTTTGTTTTTTTTAATTATGACCACTCGGATATTGGCCAAGTATATAGTCTACAGACTTTATAGACAGTGCAAGAAAGTTTCAAAAAACACACATATTCTCGCCGCATTTGTGTTAAAACTTAGCATGCAGCAGCTATTTTCACGTCTTCGCGTCCGACTTCAATAAACAAATTAATATATTGTACATGAAAGTTTTTTAAAAAACATTCCCGCTATAGGCGCTACATACAAAATTAAGAAAACTATTTTTTGGAAATGAGTTCAATACTATAGCTAAACCGGCTACAATCTACATGCACAAAACTCACTGTGCAGTATCTGTTCGATGATCAGCTTCAGTTTTTGCAAGTCGATTTATAATGTTTTGAAAAGTCGCCTGTGCAGTTAAACTGCCAACCGAACCTTGCCGCCGCTTAATTAATACTTTAAAACCGACAAATTTTGACAAATAATCCACAGATCACCGGACGACATGATCGGCTATAAACATAGCAGTTGCGTGCACTACTGCCGTAATCTTTTTCATTCGAACCAACTCGAAAGCATTTTTGCTAGCAGACAAATGGTAAACCCCCCCCTGGAAGCTGTTTTGTCCGTTTTTTGATAGCCAATAGGATCGCGTATACGTGTTTTGAAACGGCGATTTTCGCATGGCAACAGGCATCCCGCATCGAGACACGGCAAATTCAAAGAAAACTTTCGTATTTTTTCGTCTTATAAACTCGTGTTGTTGCAAAAAAACGTTGTACATATTTAGTAAAACTATCCTACAAGTAGAGGCTGCTATTTTTTAGCGTACTTTGTTCACGAGACGTTGTTTTTTTCGACTTGTTTAAGCCGTGGCGAGTCATGATATTATTTACTTGCCAACCTTAGGATATTATACTACTGCATCATACGTCACGGCGTGCGGATTGTTGGGCTACTATGGTCTCATTACAAAATAGGGTTTCCCAAAGCAGTTCTAAAATTCAGCTGATTATCAATGACCTATGCTGTTAATAATTACAGTTTATATTTAGCAGTTTGATTGCTTGAATTAAAAACAAAAGGTCTAGGACTCAACAGAAAGAAATATTTCTTAACGTCAAATATTAAAGATAGTTTGAAGCATTCATACAATTGAAGGTTTTAGAAAGTTTGATTATCAACTACATTTACATAAAGCAATATCAATTATGTTATATTGCCTGCGAATATACTAAGTTGCAATTATTCTTCTCTAGCTTCTAACACATTTTAATCTTGATATGATTCCATGGAACTATAAAATGATATGTTGTATGTATGTAATAAATATACAAATAGTAAGGAGTAAGAACCATTTTTGGTATCAATGTTTTATATATTGACTATTTAAGATTTTATAATTAAAGTCTATTTTTGCCATTGATAAACTGTGACTAAAATATGTTTTTCAGTGTCGCTGTCTTTTACAAAAGAATATGCAAATACATTCACAATTTTGCCATGAAGCAATGGCGATGGCTCAAAATGTTTTATTTGGAATTGGTGGAACTATATTTATATATACATTAACAATGATGGTTTGTCCATAAGGCCATATAAAAAAAAATAGTTGGTTAGCGTCCTTAGCTTTTGTCAAAAAGTGGGCGGGCGGGCGCTTTTTTTTTAATTTTTACTAATTTTTAACGCCTTGGTTTTACTCATTGTTAGGTCCGAAACTGGATTTTCTTGCGCAGTACAGATATTTTTTATATATTTCAAAATATAATTCATACCGTCATTTTCGCACGCAATTTCGCAAATTATTAACACAATTGACTACAGTCAACAGAAATACTACATATATTAGAGCCTGTTGATCAATAAAAGTCGGGGTTTTTTTTAAATAAAAAATAAAAAAAAGTCCTGAGCGGGGCCTTTTTTGTGGGCGGGCGGGGACGCTAACCAACTATTTTTTTTTATGTGGCCTAAGGTTTGTCCTATGGGCGCCCTTCATACGGGTCGACAAATATTGATATTTTCGAAAAAAAAAATTAAATTCTGCCTACCCGTTATTCACAATATGAAGCTCCAACGATCTGGCATCATTTACAACAAGTTGTACACTTGAAAAACCAAAATTGACTGCATAAAAGAGGATTTATTGTCAACTTTGTTCATTTCCGCAATACAAAATATACAAATTATCACGCTCCGTGGGAACGACCAATATGGCCGCCGCACGTAAACTGCGACTGCGATCAGGCTTCAATTTTCGCCTGCCTACAGGGTGGGATGCGCTATCTAGTGTATATGAGATATCTATGGTTTACACGAGTGCTAATTCAATTTGTAAACAAACTGTAATGGCGGTAGTATGAACACACGTAAATTCTGCCCGCATTAGTTCGCTCGCGCGTAGTGTGAACGTAGTCTAATTTTCGGTGACGTTTTCAAACGGCGAGGTAGCCTTTAGAAAAATGTAGAAATAGTGAATGTCCCGAAGGGGAGGGGGGTAATTTTGGGCTTGGATGTCCGGAGAGGGGGGGAGGATGAACCATTCAAGGATGTCCGAAGGGGGGAGGGGGTTATTTTCGATTTCTTCCGTAGGGGGGTATGGATCTTTTCTGGAATGACCCATTATAAAATATTGTGATTATTATCATTTGTCAATATAATGCACCAGTCAATGTAAATCCCTGCCTCCCCCCACCCGGGAAAGAGCGGGGAAATGCGGGGACAAACGCCAGATATTACTTGCTTTTCATTCGCTGCAATACGGGGAATGGGATCGCTATTGCTTCCTCGCATGCAAGGTCGGGGACTATAGCGGGGAAATGGCTGTTCGAGATTTATACCCTGGGAACAATTCTATTTCCGGTTTCGTCGCTGCATCCGGCTGCTTGTGTGTCAACAGACTCAACAAGTAGCCTCCTCCACAGGCATCTCACCCGACGAATCGGGTGGTGGGAAAAAGTTGCAATGTCCATTGTTTTTCTTACACTCGTTCATGTCTGACCATAGAGAGGACTGCGGAGGAGGCTACTCAACAAGATGGCTTTGGTTGTATTTGAATGTGCTTTTGAGACCTTTTGAGAATCCATAGCATCGCAATGCTGTGCAAAGTATTTTATAGGAATTTGAAGAAGGCGGTGGTTGCTGAAACATTGCAAAGCTTGATATCTAGAGGTATGTGTATAAAATATGCATAAATAACATGAATATTTCATAATAAAAATTTGCATTTGTAGTTGTGTGATGACACCTTTGGCTTACCCAATTTTTTGATTGCTTTAATAGCATCATTTTGAAGCAAGAATTTGTCGTATGATCGCCTTGATTTTTTATTAAATATTTATTGTCTATTATTTAAAAGAGGCAGTCAAGTCCGTTCTGTGCATACGTTCTGGGCAGCCATACATTCAAATGGACGGGACCCGACCGAAATCTTACGCAAAAAACCACGCAATTGACACATGTTCTTTTATTATTTGCTGTGTTGGTCATTTGAAAGAGAAGCAAGGAAACCAGGAAGATGCGGGGACAATGGACTTAATTTTGTGCCCCGGGGTCGGGAACAACTGCTTGTTTTTGCAACGCTTAAAATCCAATTCCTTACATTTCCCAGGTTGGGGGGAGCAGGGATTTACATTGACTGGGTGGAAAGTTTGTATGTTGCGCCGAAGATCTTCGGCGTGTTAAATTTATAAATTTGCTCCATTTCTCATTTTTGGCGCAGAATAATGGGGAAATCAACTAGTGTGGCATACTGGCGTACAAAAAATTATTTCGTTGTGCACACTACATTGTTCTCAACCATTTCTGTTTGTACTTCAGTCATTTAATTATGAAGGGAATTTAAAATGCTTAGTATCTGTCTCATTCTAAAAGTGTTGACAATGCAACTCGGCGGCACATGTGAATACGTTTAAAACAGGATTTATGCAGCCACTGCCACTGGCGCATGTTACTGAACCTTGATCAAATCTTCGGCGCACAAGAAACAAACTTTCCACCCTGGTTGACTGGTGCATAATTTAATACCTGTAAACTGTCACCATCTTTATCTTCATCTAGCTCAACAATTTTCATATCTGACACCCCAGCGTCTTTAAGAGTGGCTTTTGCTTTCAAACAAAATGGGCAAAATGTCTTTGAAAACATAACTAAATTGTGATTTCAGCCGGTACGACCATATCCACACGACTATATAGTCGGTAAAGTATGCGGGTAAATGGCGACTGTCAGTCGCGCATGATGTACACTTCCAATCCAAACGCTAATCCTAACCCAAACCCTAACCCTAACCCTAATCCTAACCCCTGACCCCTGACCCCTGACCCCTGCTGCTAACCCCGCAACCTAACCGCAAACCCCAGCCCCGGCCAGCTACCCCTCCGGGGAAACTATACTCCCGCCTTCCCACCGTCCACCAAGCACGGGCAGTTACACTTATAACTAAAACTTCTGTGCAGTGGTTACGGTTTACTCAGCCATACGACGGTGCACATTTTCTTCGACTATCAGTCGCCACTTTTCCGCATACTTTAGCGACTATCTAGCCGCATAAAATGGTCGTACCGGGTGGTGATTTCGTATTAATTTTGCAACTGTCTCTAATCTGAGAGCCGCCATATTGAATTAATACGTGAAACTTCATGTTAGTGCTTTATAAAAGCCTGGATTATTTTAGAAAAAAATAGCACAATATTGTACAGAATAACGGATTGCAATATTATACACATCCAATCCAATTTTTTAAGGATTCTTCAGTGGTGGGGCAAAACTGCCTAAGGGCCCATTTTTTTCCCCTCCCCCTGGATAGTATGCGATCGCCGAAGCGGCGCGAGTTAGCTAGGGTCTTGGGTCTCTGAAATAGCATTTCCTGCATTCTGAGAACACATTTTAAAAAAATCTCAGCTTCTCAAAACAAAGTTTTAATGGTGAAATTTGTAATAAATTGCATGCTATAAACATTCAAACACAACATATTTAATAGTTCAAGTGTGCTCACCAAAAAATTTTGTTTTTTAAACTTCCTTTCAATGTTAAATTACTCATTTACTCAATACAGGTCCTAGGGCCCTGGCTTTGGGGCAATAGGCCATTTCTTTTCTTCAGTGGTGGGGCAGAGGAAGGGGCCCAGTGGGGCAAATGCCCCACCAGTTCATGGTATTAAAAAATGCCTTGAAACGAATCTGCATTGTGCAGTCTGTGCAGCCTCGCCGGCCTGTGCCATGACACTTCATTACTATTGCCTAGCCATAGGCATAGGTTAAGAATTGCATTTTTGACCAGACTTTTGACGCTTTATTTTAAATCAAACGAAAAAAGTCAAAAACTGGAACATAAAAATCATTAACCCCTCAATGGCCTACCGCATATAGACTAACTCGATTTTCTAAGGAATCCAGTTAGCGTCTATACTACACGCTGACTCCTCACCGACTACTGCCTAGTACTGCCTGGGCTACACTGCGTACTATATATCATGCACTGCAGATGAATGACTCTTCTTTTTCTGCTTGAGGAAAAGACTAAATCGAATATAATATTTAAAAAATCATCAATAATTCATGAGGAAAATACAAAAGAAATGAATTGAATGTTTAATCAATGTTTGTAAATCGGATACAGATCGGCTGCTCATGTTTTATCTAGTACTTAAAACGTCGGCAAGCATAATTGTGTGATGCAGGATAATTCCAGCAGGAAATCTTCGACATACAGTCGGTTTATAAATTATCATTAAAAAAAGAAATTCGACACAGTGTGACAGGAATCTTGGCAGTTTTAAAACATATTGAGAAGCCAGTCATAGGCATAGCTCATGTTTGAAACGAACTGACTAGTTCCGTGATTTCCGTTTAAATATGCAACTGGTTTGTATGGCTATAGCTCATAACACCCAGAAAATATATCTCATAAATTGGTACATTGGTCTATACGGTAACGGTACTGAACATTTGTCTATACAGTACGAATATTAATATTCGAACATTAACCCACTCTATATCAGCTAGCCTATTTTATAGACAATAGCATTGTAGCAAGGGATCTCGACGCGGGGAATCAATGTATAACGCATAGCCAGTATGACATAGGCTAATATACAGTATATACTGGTTTCAAAATAATAAATTAATGACAACATTAATAAATTTCGTTTGCATGAATATCTGCGCTGTTTAATGCTACTATACATGGCTATGTACAATGTCAGTTAAATTTTAATTTACCCATTTACATGGCCAATATTGGCAATAATAATATTCACCCCGAATGGGTATCACAAAGTTTAATTTAAACCATGAACGATTTTCTTGGTTTCAGCCCCCACCTTAATCAAGAACGACGCGCAGTCAAAATGTCCTCCACGTAATGCAAACTCTAACGGTGAACAGCCTTCAGCATCTTGTATATTGATGTTAGCACCATACTGTACAAGTAATGTAATTGTTTCCAAATGCCCTTCAGCAGCAGCGACATGCAGTGGAGCAATTCCAGACAAATACAAAGTATTTGGATTAGCTTTACCAGAATCTAAAATATTTTTCAATTCCTTGGTATCATTTTCAGCCGCTGCTGTGTAAAGTTTAGCTGTAGGATCAAATGATACACTTCGTGGTCGCACCAGGCTAATTGACGCAGCCGTATCATTTTCCATCTTTGTAATCATACTGTTTATAGTGATAGCATCAGGTAATGAGTTACTACGCTTTCTCTGAGAACCAGGAAGTATACAGTGTGGAAGATATGCTCTAGTTCCGCCAGTTTGTTCGTTAATGGAGCCAGGAGCAACCTCCTGAAACGCAGATAGGCGGCGCTGACGTACTTGATTGTATCTTTTCTCAATTCTCGTTTCGTCAGCTAAAGCCGTGCCATAGAAAGAGTGACGATTTGAGCGACTTTTTGAACCCATCTTTGACAAGTAATGCTCACAAATCTAACAGGAATTTGGTCGCTCTTTATGTAAGTACATGATCTATAGTTGTGCTTTAAATAACTCTCGTATTTCGACAACATTCCGCTGTCATCGTCTATCAGCTGGAACTTATGAGGGGCTGATTCACCAATTAAAACAGATGTTACATTAATTGAAAATAAATTAACTACGGAATTACCAGACATTACACGTACCGTACCCATTTCAACCCTATTTTAGTAAAATCATAAAACCAGATTTCATATTATGCGACTAATTCTCAGCGAATCCTAGTGTTAGCCATTTTGAAAACAAGATATATACGCTGCTTCAAGCCTAGCATTTACACAATCACACATTTGCCTATTAAAACATGCATCTGTTTTTGTACTGTTTATATTTTTAATCAGTTTACAACAAGACAAATATAGGATTATAGACCTTGTCCTCTTCAGAATGAATACACCATTTATCAAGCATACAAATCACAAGGTACTCAGTTCAATAAAACGTTTTGAAAATGTAGTCAATCAGGTTATTAAGGCACCCATGCATGAGTGATCCTGACGAAACTCGGAAACTGTTATCGACATCATAATATTTCTCTATATTAGTTTGGAATGCTAGGAGTGTCGGGAACTTGAGGACCCTTGACTACGATTTGATTCCTAAATTTCAAAAATTCAAATGACAAATGTGTATTCAGTGTAGCTAGATCTATATTTCATATAAATTCTGGTAAAAGTGGGTCAATAACATCATGGGAAGAAAGGATCAATCAGTGACAGATTTATATGCAGTTTAATTTGATAACAGCATGCATATTCTTACTACACTACTAGCTTTAATATTGTTTTCTTGCATTTCACCCTGTGACCGTAAAATAGACACTATTGTCTATCACTTTTCAACCATAAATGGCAATTCACCAGTTCACCCTGAGCTATAGGGTAAGACGTGGTGGCGCAGGGGAACAACACTCAGCGCGTATGCTGAGGGTCGTGAGTTCGAATCTCAGAGTGAGCGCGGATAATTCTCAATTTATTCGTCATGTTTTCTGTAAATTGTATATTTGTTCTCGTCTTTGATTTATGTTTGTTATAGTTTGTTTTCATTAAGGTTGGTCTTCACATGGGGCTATTCATGTCCTGTTGACCGTACCTTCAACCATATTATGTAGTGGTTTAATCTATTTTATGTTTGGTTGTAAAGTTAATAAATAAATATAGCTATCACTTCACATACAGTTATTTGGTCTTATTTATATAGGCCGGACAAACTATTTTGAAAATAGCTCTCAGTTACATGCGTGCCATAACATGCATTTTGTTGACGTTTGTTTATACAAGTCTCAATCAAAATCTTTTGTCCAATTAAAATTCCAGAAATAGATAAAGAATACAGTGATACGAGTGGTACTGACAGGTTTTCGCAAAGTCATTTGTCTTTGTTTATAGAACAAAAATAGGTACGCATGCTGCCTGCGTATACAAACCTCGTATTTGCCAAAAATCGGCTTCGCAATTGGGTTTCCCTGTATTTAACAAATTGCTCAATAAATACTTTACCAAAAGTATCCAAATCTACACCAAAGATAAATGTTGGTTGAGTCGCTAAATATAAACCATTTCCCAGAACATAGCGATATAAAGGAAATAAAAGCGAAATGACAGAGGCCTAACTCCTCAAAATGAAAATAACAAATTGCTCTATAAAAACTTAGCTAAGAGTATCCAAACTTGCACCGAAGATAGACCAGTCTCTTAGATGCAATTTGACTGTGTATTTTACCAGCAAAAATCACTTTGATGGCCAGAATTTGGGATAGAATGCGTGTCCTTATATATAGAGAGATCGGTGGCATTTTGACATTCTGTGCCGAAATGTATAGTTGCGGCGCCACAACAACGTACTAATATACAATGTATAAATGGCAAATCACCTACATTACAATATACAGGGTGTATAAAAAAAAAACTGAACAGATTTGAAATTGCTCTCAATTTCGCAAAACACCTATTTGTATCTGGTTTTTTATATATATAGCTTCTTTGGGTACTTATAATGTAAAATAATGAAAAAAAATTCTCGATCTCAAATTTTGTGAACCAGGGGGGGGTGTCTTTTCCAACAAAATAAAAATGGCTCGCGCACAAAATTTAAAAGCTGTAATCATATTTTGAGTTAACAGATTGAAAATTTGTCGGGTTTTTAATTACTGTACAAAATTTCAGACAATTTGGTTTAGTTTAAGCCCTTTAACTATTCATTTTGTTCTAAAAAGTCAGCCTTTCGCATGCTTAATTAATGCCTTTACCTAATTTGCATATTGCTGACATATGCAAATTAGGCAAATGCATTAATTAAGCATGCAAATAGCTGATTTTTCGGGAAAATTGTAACTTTGCGTGAATAGTTAAGGGACTTAAACTAAACCAAATTGTCTGAAATTTTGTACAGTAATTAAAATCCCGACAAATTTTCCATCTGTTAACTCAAAATATGATTGCAGCTTTTAAATTTTGTGCGCGAGCCATTTTTAGTTTGTTGGAAAAGACACACCCCCTGGTTCACAAAATTTGAGTTCGAGAAATTTTTGTTTCGTTCCCCGCAGGAACGAAACGGTACTGTATTTGGTTTCGAGCAATTATCACAGGAAAGTGACGTCAGAGATCAAAGTTATCCAATCCTTTGCCAGTATTCTTGCTCAAACGTCAATTACATTTAGAATCGTCCAATGACATGACCGCTCCTAGCATAAGAAGTTTTTTGGAGGCGTGGCGTATAATTCGGAAATCTTAGTTAATTATATATCAACCTATGAGAACATGCTAACTTAACCTGAAGTTCAGGCCCTAATTTTAAATAGGGCCTGACACAAAACCTGTCTAGACCGTGGGACGCTCACAAGCCTCACATGTTATTTTTAGACACAGCATGCAATATGATTGACAAGTGTTATAGATTTCGTTACACAAAAAAATTATATTCTCATGAACATGTCCGCAGAGTGTGCATTTTGCTTTTTAATTAAACTTAAAAATTCAAGGTACTTTTATATAATTACTGTAAGAGTCAGTTTCTTTATTTAACCGAACAAAAAACGAAGATTCAATTAGTCAGTTCTGTGTACAGCTTGACTGCCAAGCTTTCTCAAGGTCTCAACTTGCTGGCAGAACATCTTGGCTGTCAACAACAAACTTTCGAATAGATGACTAGTTTGGCTGTTCTTTCAGCGTCGTGTGTCCAAAATTCGTCAAAGATTTTGATAAAGACCTTCAAAATACTATTTGTTTGATTTATTTTCTGCCATAAAGCATAAAAGAAAAGAAATTCGAAGAAATCGATAATGGATTTGTTACGTGCATTGGACCTTTATCTTATTATTGTCCCCTTGAGCCCTTCACCGAGCTATTTTTAAAACTGTTGTTTATGTGAACTTGCAACCAATCAAAATCTTAGGGCCTGAACCTCTGGGCCTGAACTTCAGGTCAAAATCTACAGGCACGATGATTTATATTTGAAGTATTCAAGCGCCAACAGCGGTATATATTTATTATATAGTTTTCTTTGTTTTTCTTCATTTTAAATACTACAACTGTATTTCTGGACCGCTCGGCCCTCCGGGTAATGAAAATTTATAGAACCCGCCCGCCTCACAAAATGAACCAATTTCATTGCTCGACATATACAAGTGATCTATGGTCACAACCGCTAATTACAGACGTCTGGTATTTCTATAATTATATTGGAACGAAACATTATTTCTTTTTTAAAGAAATATTTTCTTGTTTTCATTATTTTACATTATAAGTACCCAAAGAAGCTATATATGTAAAAAACCAGATACAATAGCTGTTTTGCGAAATTGAGAGCAATTTTAAATCTGTTCAGTTTTTTTTGATACACCCTGTATTGGCAATATTCAAAATTTCCTGGAATAATTAAAGTAATTAATTGAAATAGGTAGATTTTTATCGAACATGATAGTCAAGTTCCTTGGCCACAGTTAATTGGAGCGTCCATTTAAATTAACAGTTTATTTTTCAGCAAGTAATTCAGAATTCGTAATAATAATAATATACAAATAAAATAATATATAGTAATATAACAATAACTAGGATGAGTGATCTTATACATTGACCATTGTCGTAAAAAAACAATGTTTTCAACAAAATTCAAGAATCAATTCTATTTTTAGACACCGACACCGTCGAATGGAAATATTATTTATCATCCTTAATCGGTAAACCATCTGCTTTCCCTGGAAATCAAAATAGCATCGGCTTACCATGCACTGTTGCTATCCTCAAATACTCAGCATTGTGAATAAACGAAAGTTCAAATGCTGGCTAACCGAACTCAAATGTTGTAGAGAAGATCATGTATTTGACTATTTCAAGATTTTTATAGCCTTTTGAACAACCTTTCGTTTACAGTTAACTATAATCCATCTCTAGAAAATAAAGTTTTTCACAAAATCATCGCGCCTTATATCTCGTCCTGGCAAAGCGGTTTAAGCGGGATCCGTATAAACAGGCCTTATTCAGCAAATTGCACATGCTCCCTTGCCTTTGATGGCAGCACTTTCCTTGCGATAGTAACTTCTAGTTATCGTTCTGTGTCTCAGTTCTAATACGTATATGTCCGTTTTCCTTATATGGAAACGTGATTATGTGGGCTACACTGCGTATCATGCAGATGAATGACACTCTTCTTTTTCTGCTTGAGGAAAAGCCTAAATCAATAATAATATTTTAAAAATCATCAATAATTCATGAGGAAAATACAAAAGAAATGAATTGAATGTTTAATCAATGTTTGTAAATAGGATAAATATTTACCCTGATTTACATAAACGTCAGCTTTGTCTTTGATTTTCTCGGCTTATACAATGTTTATTTTTAAAATTACTTCGCCAATGTCAATGAACTCATAAGATGGGTCGTTTTTTAAGCACGTTAAAAATAGATGTGCTTGATGTAAAATAGATGTGCTTGCAATTAACGAAACTAAATTAGATTCAACGATTGAGAATAGTGAAATCCATATCCC